ACTCCAATTTCTCACTCTTAAGGCAATTTCTTTTTCTTCTCCAATATCTGGGCTCCCTGTTTCTAGGAAACATGGCTGTTTCATCCAAAAATTTCTTGAACAAATAGGGGATTTCATCTGGCAGCGAATGGGGGGAACAGAGAGACCTAAGCCCGCACCTTAGAAAATCAGGCACTTCTTGGAGTAGCCTGTACATTTGCAGAAGGAGTGACCCTCACCACCTGTGGCCCCTCGGTCCTCCGTGTCCAGGAGAAGTGCTGGGCTTGCCCCTTTGCTCCCTCCCTCACTGCTGCAGGCTCTAGGCTGACACAGTGGCCAAGATGCTACCAGGCCCTGACCTTGCAGAAGGCCAAGAATGGCAGCTCTGAATGGAGCCGAAAGGGATAGTTTTTGTTCCGAACAATCTGCGAGCCAAGAATGCGTCTGGGCAGGTGCAACAGGACCTCATCCTTGCTCCCCTGCGTGACCCCTTTCCTCCAATGCAGCTGGGTCAGTCTTTGTCTAATCATTCTTTTAAAAATTGTATTTTATTGAGTTAAGAACACTTACTGTGAGTATCTACCCTCTTAAATTTTGGAGTGCACAAACCGTAAGGCAGAGCAGGTCTCTCCAGCAGCTTTACCTCGCTTAGCTGAAACCTGATGCTTGTTGGTTGGCCACGCCCCATTTCCCTTCCCCCAACCCCTGGCACCACCTTCCCACTCCTGGATTCTGTGAATTTAGAGACCCCACATAAGTGGGATAGTGCAGTCCGTCTGTGACTGGCTTGTTGCCCTTGGCAAAATGTTCTCTGTAGCAGAATGTTCTCCGGGTTCGTCCTTATTGTTGCAACCGTATTGTTGCAGAGTTTCCTTCTTTTTAAAGATGGACTAATGTTCCATTGTCTGTCTCTGCCCCATTTTCCTTCTTCATTTGTTGACGGACATTTTGGGTCTTCGCCTGTTTTGGCTGCCGTGAATGTGGTGGAGCTAATATATCTTCGAGATCCCAATTTCAAGTCTTTTCAATATACACCCAGGAGTGTGATTGCTGGTCATTCTGTTTTTAATTTTTGGAGGAACCTTCATACCATTTTCCGTAGCAGCTGCACCGTCTGGCTTTCCCACCAACAATGCACAAGGGTTCCAAGTTCAATCTCTTCACTTTTCTGCATAGAGAAGCCCGGGCCGTCTCAGACCATCGCTCCCTTGGAGCACAACTCCATCCTCACCATGTGGGAAGATCCCATCCACCCTCTAGGCACATCTTTTGGAGATCTTCTCAGCCATCCTTGTCATCTCTTGAGTCATTTGGGGTTAGCACTCTCCCCTTTATTTGGTGCCTAATTCAGCCCACCCTTGCGGTCTACTGAGTAGTCTGTGCGTAGCACTGTACTAAGTGCTCTACACACTTAATCTCGGATAATCTCCGTGACATCCCTCTGATGACAGAGGTACTATTGTCTTCTCTGTTTTACAGAGAAATGAGTCTTAGTGACATTTAGAATTTACCTAGCTTCTGCATTGAGCAGGGATTTGAACTGGGCTTTTTCTGCATCCAGATCTCTAGCATTTATCTTAGTTAACTTTTTATTTTCATACAAACATCTTCCCAGTCCTCTGTGGACTTGGAGTATGTCTTCTGCCTTGTTGTACCACACCCCCCCCATACAAAATGCAATGCCCTTAAGGATGCTCAGTAAGTACATGTTTAATATTTGAACAGTGAGGAGAGCAGGATTTTTATTCACACAGGCCTCTAAACACAGCCCCCATGCAAAGTTCCAAAGATGCATTAATTATACAAAAGCTGCTAATATGAATGATTCTAACCATAACCACTAACATGAATCTCTCCTGATAAAGTATGTATCTTTTTTTTATTATAAAAGATTTTACTGGAGAGAGAGAGTAGGGTGGGGGGAGAGAGGCAGATGGAGAGGAAGAAGCAGACTCCATGCTGAGCGGGGAGCCCGACACTGGGCTCGATTCCTGGACTCCAGGAGCATGACCTGAGCTGAAGGCAGATGCTTAACCGACTGAGCCACCCAGGTACCCGGATGAAGTCTGTATCTTTATGAGTCTATAACATATCTGTCCCTGTAAAGCATTTTTACACAAATGCTTAATGAGATTCTAAGAAATTACAAAAGTATGTCAATTACCTGGGCACAGACTATCACCGTCCCCATTTTACAGTAGAGAAAGGACGTTTGGAGAGGTTCAGTGAAATCCCACCATGGGCAGAGAAAGGAAGCCCCATGGAGCTGTGAGATTTCTTTTCTCTGTGGGTTTCTTTTCTTTGTACCACAGCCATGGAGCAACGTCCAAAAGGACTGGTAATTGTAAAGTGTTGCATGGAGCAAGGGGGTGTTATTTTATTTAAAAGCCAGAGAATAATGGTGAGATAACCAAGTTAGTTAAATTGAGGAGAAGCGGGTGAATCACTGACCTGTTTTAGTTTGGGTAGTGGCTGGAACGTGGACGGGTTGGGTTGGAGGTACAGCCCTCCACTGGATTTGGCCAGCTGTAGGCAGGAGAGGGTCTCTGGACAGAGAAGGACGGGAAAGGTTTTCCTCCTATTTGACCATTCGTGTTCTGTTTCTGTTCCTGCTCTCCCTGGAGCCTGGAATGCTCTGGCCCACCATTCTCCCCCCACCCTTTCTGGTGCCCGATTCCTATTCTTTTTTTTTTTTTTTAAGATTTTTAAATTTATTTATTTGACAGACAGAGACCACAAGTAGACAGAGCAGCAGGCAGAGAGAGAGGGAGAGGCAGGCTCCCCGCTGAGCAGAGAGCCCGATGTGGGGCTCGATCCCAGGACCCTGGGATCATGACCTGAGCCAGAGGCAGAGGCTTTAACCCACTGAGGCACCCAGGTGCCCCCCTATTCATTTTTTAAAGATTCATTCCAGGAGTCACCACTCCTGACCCTCTCCTGGCGCTGTTGTGTTCTCATGATACCCTGAACTCACCTTCATCACTGTACCTCCCATGTTGTCCCATAATATCCTGGCACCAGTGAGCTCCTTGGGCTCGGGGACCACATCACCTTATCTTTGGTTTTCCAGAGTGACTGGAAAAAGAACACTTACTGTTTTAGTTGTTGAATGACTCACTAACCATGGCAAGCGCACGGCAGGCAGGGAGATGCGTGGTTTCTTCAGGAGTGAGGGGTCTCCTGGGGGAACAGGAAGCTGGAAACCTCGGATATGTGAGGCTTTGTCAGTGCCCATGATAAACGTTGACAAGAGACACACCTGGGTTGTCTTTTTTTTTTTCTGACTGTGCCCACCCATCCAGCTTGTTTGAAAATACCCTTCAGTTGATTTTACTTCCCTTTGATTTTTTTCAAGCGGAAAACTATTTTTTATTAATAAAATTCAAAAAATAAAGAGCATGAGGGCCATCCTTGTGGCTGTCATCCCGCAGTCTCTCTCCCTTGAGAGAGACTCTCTGGCTCTCTTTGCTTCTACTCTCGTTCCCAGGCTCATGACTAAGTCGTATCTCTGACCCTTATCTCTTTTGCACTTGGGATGTTCATTTCCCGTCACCTGCCAGACACCGTGGCGAGCTCAGTCAGCATTCCAAAGCAGAATCCTTTGCTTTCAGAAGGTGCTCCTTCTTTGGCACATCTGCCTTTTCTAATCTGGGAACCGGCAGCTCTGATCATGGGAGTTAGAAACTTTGCCACCCTCACTGAACAAGTCAATCATTTACAAGTACAGTTCACTTGAGTTAACTAGGGCTCTGAAGTGGCGCCTTCCTCTCACCCCTGCCATTGCCTTCATTTACATATTAACTCATGCACCAGCTGCTTATGAAGTACCAGCTCCGTGGCCCTGGCCGTGTCCAGCGCCGTGCCAGCGCTTGTGATAACGGCATTGGACTGTGATAGACAGACGACCTGCCCTTGAAGAGCTTACTGTCTAGGAAAAAGGAGACACATAATAAGCAATGTAATCAAGAGGCAGATAATTTCCTATGTTAGACGGTGAGTGCTCTTGAAAAAGCAGATAGGGGATCAGGAATGCCAAGAGTGGAGTTCAAGGTTGTTAAGTAGGATGGTCAGGGCTGGCCTCCTGAGCATGTTAGCAGAAGAAGGTGGTGAGCGAGTTAGTTACATAGGGAAGGGCAGTCCAGGCCCAGGGAATTGTCAGAGTAAAGGCCCTAGAGCAGGAGGCTGGGCATGGTCAGGGAGGAGCAAGGTGGCCAGGGTGGCTGGATGGGAGGGAGCCAGGTGGGTGGTGGTAGGAAAAGAGTCAGGGAGGAAGGGGTCCCAACCATGTAGACTAGTTGGGGAACTTTACCATTGCCTCTGAGTGGAATGGCCACTACAGGGTTTTGAGCAGAGGAGTGACATCTTCTTAAATAATTGAAAGAGTCTTTCTGGCTGCTCTCCTGAGAAGGGGGAGAAGTGGCAAGGGGGGAGACAGACCCACCATTGCTTGCTGGGACCGTTGCATTATCTTCAAATGGACCTCCCCTCTTTTATTCTTCTTGGCAAACTTCCTCATACCTCAGCGTCTTCTCTGTCACGGGCCACTTTTCCCAAGCCTGGGCTGAATCACGCCACTGCCCAGCGGTCGCTGCGGGTGCCAGATGCATGCTCCGGGAATGACGTCCGAGGCTTGTTGGGATCTGGCCCCCAGCTGCTTTTCTTGCTTCATTGTCCGTCCCTCTCTCGCCCTGGGCACTTGCTCCCATGTCTTCTCACTTTCTGTCCTGCAAAATCCTCATTTCCCACATCTCCCCTTTTCCTCTGAGCTTGTGCAGGATCTCCAAGTCGGAGAACACTTCTCTGAGCTCCCGCACCCAGCCGGGGGGTGTGTGTGTCTGTGAACCCCATGCTGAACCTGGTTGTGTTGTGATCTCTCAGGGTCCATCCGGGTCACAAGTTCTTGATGATAAGCTCCCTGAATTCCTCTCAGCATCTCTTGCCCCCTCCGCAGTGCAGAGAGGGGCCTTGCCTGGCTTTTGGAATAGCTCTGATGAGCTAATGTTTTCGGTTCCATTTTGCAGATTGAAGCCCTGGTGAAGGACATGCAGAACCCGGAGACGGGGGTCAGGATGCAGAACCAGAAGGTTCTGGTCACCAGTGTCCCTCATGCCATGACAGGTAATGTATCTGTCCACACGCAGGGGCTGACGATCTATATAGCCCAAGGTCCAAGTGCGGCCCATGGCCAGTGCTTGCGCATAAAGCTTTATTGGAGCGCATTCACATCCCTAAATTTTCTGAAAAATATTTTATTTATTTATTTTTGAGAGAGAGCGCGAGAGTGAGCATGAGTGGGGGGAGGGGCAGAGGCAGAGGGAGAAGCAGGCTCCCTGTTGAGTAGGGAGCCCCATGCGGGGCTCGAGCCCAGGACCCTGGGGGTCATGACCTGAGCTGAAGACAGATGCTTAACTGACTGAGTGACCCAGGTGCCCCACGTCCTTCTTTACATATTGTCTTTGGCTGTTTTTATGCTACAATGACAGAGTTAAGTACTTGTACAGAGACTGAATTATGGCCCACAAAACAGAATATTTATAGCCTTTTACAGAGGGAATTTGCTGATTCCTGGACCACAGGCTCCTTCTGAGGAAGGGTTCAGAAAGGAAAGGAGAAAAGGAATCCATAGATCACTTTGTGACACCATCCCTCCCAGGAGGTCATTTAAAAAGCTTTTGCTGTCACTTTCTGTTTGCCCTGTTTTCATGAAATCAGGTAGTATTAAAAAAAAAAATTCTTTGGCAGAAAAAAATGTGGTCTTTGCTCTACCCTTTTCTGATTCTTTTTGACACCTGTCTTAACCACACCACGGGGACGGCGCCAGTGTCTCTTTCCTCTGGATGTGGAAAAAAGGAGCGTCATTTGAGGCTATCGGCAGAAGGGACTGAACCGCAGAATAAGAATGACTTTGGATAAATGTGTTGTGTGTGTTTGATGATTTTGGTTTTTCAGTAGAGAGTATGTTTCCTACTGAGACCTATTGTCTGCAGAAACAGCTTCTCAAAGCAAGAGCCGGGGACTCGCCACCCTGCCCCACTCTTTGTGAACCCTCTCTTTCCCCCTCACCATAGCCTGACTGCCTTTCACTCAAGGTGCTCTGGTCTTGGCAGAGGCAAGCTGGCTGACGGTGTCCCCCTGTTTCCCTTTCTGTCCGCTTGGAAGAAGGCGTGTCCCCATCTTTTTTCCCTTGAGTGTAAGCGACAAAAAACCAGCCTGGCTGTTGGGAGCAAAATAGCGGTTGATCGGAACGGGACAGAATAACTCACAGAAGGAAAGGAAACTCTGACCAGCTGCCCTGGGGAAAGGCTAGGAACCTGAGTCGCACAGGTGCCCAAGGAATGGGGATTGACGGGCAGACTTCTCAGGGTGGCTCTGCGTTCCCCTGACATTTAAGATGTACCTGAGGCGATTCTTCTGGAAGGCATCCCTGTCCCCACCCCTCTCCACTTCTGATTGTCATTACTTCCAGCCTGAATTCTCCACGGGACTGGAAAGCCCTCAAGGGGAGATATGTTGTCCTGCTCACCTAGGTGACTCCCTTGCTCAGCCTAGCTGTTAGGCTGGTGGTTTAGTAGAAGGTTCTCGAATGCATGAGTCTCTGCTGGTCTAGCACTGAGCGAGGAGTACGAGACTTGGAGCCAGTTACCCTGGGATTGACTCCTTCGGGCGCCTCTTTCAAGCTGTGTAGCCCTTGTCTTAATCATCTCATTTTAAAAGCAGGAATAGCAATCCCTGGGGAAGAGAATGATTGTGGGAATTCAGTGGGATGGTACTGAGCACATGGTCAGCAGGCATGGAAGCTTGACCTGTGGCGATAGCTGGTGACTTCCTACACTGTGTCACTTAACGCTCATGATCAAGTTCAGGGTTGATGGGACCATCTGCTTTTTGTAGACAGAGTTTCAGCCACTGGTATCCCTGTCACTAAACTAGCACAGGGCTGAGCTTGGATGTGACCCCAGCAACGTGACCCCAGTGTCCATCCCTGACCCACTGTCTGTGTGCATAAGCTACTTTTTCTCCTTGCACATAGGGCGCGCTTGGCTCCTGGGTTCAGGCAAGGCCGCCCACCTGCCATGTTTTCTCTTGTTCCTCCTGTGGGGGAATTTCAGCTGCCTTCGCGACGGGGCTCAGGTTGAAGGCGTGGGTCCTGCGTCAGCACTGATACAAGCAAACTGGGTAATCAGCACCCAGCTCCTCGGATGGCAGGTGACCCAGGACTTCTGGGGAGGAAGGTGGCTGACGTGGGAGGCTGCCGCACCGTTACACAGAAGACCACGTGATGAGAAGCTGGTGGCCCTGTAATCTTACTTGGTCTATTTTAGGAAGCAGTCAAGTGGATGAGAAAACCCTCAGCTCGTTGGTGGAAAGCACGGATCCGTCTGCTGCCTGCCTGGGTCTCTCTGTCTCTCAGTCTGCGCACCTCTGAGCAGCATTCAAGGAGACCCCGGGGAGAAAGTCTAAGACCCCCCCGTCCTAGCTAGGAGTTGATGTAGGATTTTAGATGAAGAATTTTGCTTTAGAACAGCCAACCAGGGTTGAATAAAACTAAGAGCGACAGATGAGAACCCACTGGAAGCAGTAACGGTGGGCATGTGGGCATAGACAGAGGTCATATTTGGACACTTGTGCCCCAGGACATGGGGGGGGAAGGTAAGAATTGTGGGTTGTCCATCTTTAGCCATGGCCTGGGCAGGTAATTAAGCCCAGAGAGTGTATGAGTGGGTCATAAGGGCTTTCCCCAGAGGGGCCTGGAAGAAATGCCTCATTAGTACCTCTGAGGAAGGAAGTATTTGGAACAGTCGAGCCAGAAGGACACAGGCAGTGGCAACTCAGACCCAGATCCTTCTTCTCTGTATGTCTTGTGGGCCAGTTCCCATGCAATCAGGGCCAAGCGTGGCCTTTGTAAAGCTGGCTGAAATTGCTGGAAAATGTGGTCATTGGTGTTTGCAAGATGGCGTCTGAATTGGGGTGGGTTGTTGCGACGGTATCTTGTCTTTCCTTGGAGCTGCCGTTGTCCTCCTCCTCCAAGAAGCCTGTTCTGCTTACGGGGCTGCAGGGCCCAGGGTGAGGCAGAAGTATACATTTTCCTTGGGGTCCAGTGACAGTTCTGGATTGTTGGTGGAACTTGGCTTGCTTTGGTCCTTAGATAAATCTGAATCCTTGATGGACATTGGGGAAGGGTATGTGCTATGGTGAGTGCTGTGAAGTGTGTAAACCTGGCGATTCACAGACCTATACCCCTGGGGCTAATAATACATTATATGTTAATAAAAAAATAAAAAATTAAAAACAAAAAAATCTGAATCCTCGGGGGAAGGGGTGGGGGGGGGGGGGGAGTGCACGTTCTCTCCTGACTTCTCCTGATCTCGTCCCTGTCTGCCCCTTCTGCTTTTTCTCCCACGCCAGTCTTTACTCTGCATTGTCCCCAGGCCAGCCCGTAAGACTTGTAGAACCCAAGACTACAAGTGGAGTCCACACCCCCTTGTCTGAAGTTATAAATCAGCCCACAGAGTGTTACCAAATACGTCCCATTCTCCTGCTTTGATCAGAGTACCTTTACAATGATCTGAGAGACCAGGTCTAAATTTAGAATTTTTTGACTCTTTGGGGGTCTACCTGGGAATTTGGGAGCCTAGGCAAACCATCGCCTCACCCTTAGCTCATTCCCACTTTTCCTTCCATCTCTTGCTCCGATTTACCTTCACGTGGCCAGGCTCCATCTGGGTCCCCACAGACAGCATGCCTTGGGTCTGGTTTTTTTCCAGTGTTAAGACATGGGCTGTTTGCTTCCTATCTGATGACTGTTAATCCATGCACAAATTGTTGTAAAGTCAGAAAACAAATACTACCGGAGAGATAAATGTCGCAGGTGTATGGGAGATGTTCAACAGGAAATCTGGCTGGAGTCAGGTCCTGGATGACCCTGAATCATGGGCTGCGGGATGTGGAGTGAACATCATGGGAGGGGTCGGGGAGGGGAGCCCCTGAAAGTTTGGAGAAGAAGAGGGACGAGATCCCAGCTGAGCCCAGTGGAGACCAGTCAGGCAACAGCATGGAGGAGGGAGTGGAGGTCGATGATTTGCTTGGAAGCTCTGACAGTGGCCAAATACTTCTGGTTTGCAGGAAGTGACGTTCTACAATGGATAGCCCAGCGGCTTTGGATCTCCAATCTGGGTGAGCGCTTGTCTGGCACCCCGGCAACAAGGAGGGCTGTGTGTGCCCAAAGAAGCCCTGGAGGGTGGAGACTAAAGGGAGGCTTAACCTTTGTCTCTGAGAAATTGACATCAGAAGACAAGGCATTTACATGTAAAACAGCCCAAATCAAAAGCGAAGGCGTGATAATTGAGGGGAAAAATAATTGTTTCCTACAAAATATTGAGAGCACGTGAATAATGGATAATTGAGGAAGCATCAGCCAAGACAGAATTCTTGGAGGGGGTGATGCCCACATACAGCTGGTTTTGAAAGAAGGGGTGCTTGTGAATTGTGGAGGGGAGCCCTGAGCAGTGGTGTAGAAATGGAATGAATGAGACAGGGAGTGGGAATGAGGAGAACTTGGGAGAAATGGCTTCAGCTGGGTGTGGAGAGCCGTGGAGGGATAGGGATATAGTAGGCATGTCTACAGATTCCACGCTTTTTAAAAAAGATTTATTTATTTGAGAGAGAGAGAGAAAGAAAGAGCATGTGCCAGGAGAGGCCAGATGGAGAAGGAGAATCCCAAGCAGACTCAGTGCTGAGCCTGACTCAGGCTCGATCCCAGGACCCCAAGATCACAACCTGAGCTGAAATAAAGATTCAGATGCTTAGCCAACTGAGCCATCCAGCACCCCTGAAAATTCCAAGTTTTATCTGGGAGACAAGTACTAGGAAGCCATGGGGGATTTTTGAGCATGGCAGTATGCATTATAATCATATATAAGTTAGGATGTTTGCAGCAATTTGAGGGACGGATCGGAACAGAAAAAAAATCTGAGGAACAGACTTCCCACTAGAAAAAAGGCTGTTGGTACAAGACATAAAGCATGATACTTGTCAATGATGGAGGGAATGAGACATGAAGGATGAAGAAGGAGGGTTGGGGAGAAAGTCTTCTTAGGCTTTGGAGGCTCAGATAGGGATGGGATGTGGGTTGGGTCCTTGGTCCTGTGGACTGGAGAGATGGAATTCTCTCTCAATGATGGATGGAAAGACACCTGCTACCTTGGGGTCTTTGAGAAAGAGCCAGGGAGGTTCTCCTTTAACTGATGCAAATCCAGAAGCAAAACTGTTGCCAAGCACAGTGGAGTTGTTGGGAATTAAAGTAAGGTGTGGAAGAGTGGGATCTGGACCCGGGATGCAAGCAGGATTGAGCTTGGGGTAGAAGTTGACAATAAACATGGCCTTCTCTTTCCTTTCCTCTTTGAGTGAGGAACTTTCTGTTGGTCAGAGACATTCTCTCCCTGCTCCTGGGGACTTCTCCAGACCCAGAGGCCCAAGCAAGCTTCTCTAACATCTGCAGGGAGCCACCTGTGGTACCCATTAACATTTGGGCTCATTGGCTCTCCCTGGACCTGGGAGTTGTCATTCTCAGGGGTTGGGCTGGGGAATCTTACTATTACCATGCTCCCCAGCTGATATTTGCCCATAGCCAAGTTCAGGAACCACTGCCCTCACTTCTTGGATGAAGTGCTGTTAGCATGGGGGCATCTCTCCTGGAGTGTGGGGTGCTTTGTGGGAGTTGGGCAACCAGCTGCTTCTGCCTTCGGTGTCCGCTCTTGACTTCCATGTCTTACTGTTTCTTCTCAGAGGCACAGAACTTGGGCAACTTTATTGTCAAGTATGGCTACATTTACCCCCTGCAAGATCCCAGGAATCTTGTTCTCAAGCCTGACAATAGCCTCTACCGATTTCAGGTAGGTCTTGGCCTTGACCTTGGTGTTCATATGGGATTAATCTTATCTGAGAAGGTAATTATGTGGCTTCATATCCTCACAGATCAGAACTTTCAGTACTTTAGAAATGGTGGGGGGGGGTCTAAGGTAGTTACCTCTTGAGCCACAGGTCTGGGGGTCCAGGAGGACAGTCACAGCCCAGTGTTTAAGCATGGTTTCCTGGTTTCTTTTGTAGACGCCGTATTTCTGGCCCACCCAGCAGTGGCCGGCTGAAGATACAGACTATGGTAACTCCCTCCACCTTGCTTTTGATAGTGCTTAACACGCTGCTTATTTACTTGCCACATTTTGGTGACATTTGTCTTGCTGTCATCATGAACTTTATGTCAGTTCACATCTGTTTTGGGAGTGTTCCCAGAGAAGGGAGCAGGGGTCTGCTGAGACCTCCTCCCACCAAGCCAAGCACAGCAGCCTCATGCATGGAAAGGCTGCAGAGGCAGTTTTAAAATATGATGATGATGGAAGATATCTTTGCTTTTTTTCCCCAGCCATCTATCTAGCCAAGAGAAATATAAAGAAGAAAGGGATTTTAGAAGAATATGAAAAGGTACAGAGATGCTTTCAAGTACAAGTTATTATAATTGGAATAAAGTCTTGAGCTGTTTTATTTCTGCTTCTCCCTTTGCTACATCATATGTAGCCTCATCATCCATCCCTCCATTCATTATCTAGCCATCTGTCCATCCATCCACTATCCATCCTTTATCCATCATCCATCCATCCATCCATCCATGCATCCATCCATCCATCCACGATCTACCCAACCATCCATCCACCACCCATCCATCCACCCACCCATCTACCCTTCATCCATCATCTGTCCATCCATCCTCTATCTATCTATCCACCATCCATCCATCCACTATTTACCCAACCATCATCCACCATCCATCCATCCACCCATCCACCCATCCACCCTTCATCCATCATCCACCCATCTATCCACTATCTATCCAACTATCCATCTACCATCCATCCATCCACACTTCATCCATCATCCATCCATCCCCCACTGTCTATCCATCCATCCATCCATCCATCCATCTACCATCCTTCCACCTACTATCTATCCATCTATCCATCCACCATCCTTCCACCCATCCACCATCTATCCACCCACTCACCATTCATCCATCCATCCTCATCAACCATTCATCCATCCGTTTAGAAACAATTCCTGAAGTAAATTCCTCCCCCTGTCAAACTTCAGTTTCTCCTGCTGTAATTTAAGCTCTTGCCTCAGTGGCTACTGGACACACAATAGCTATTATCTTCCTTTTGCTGTTCTAAAACAATGAGATAATTAATATGCCTGATAATGGATATTATGTGATGAACAGATTTGAACTAGAGTTTGTGATGGGAAAACAATAGTGTAGTTTTGTTTTAGGCCAGATGAGTCAGATTTCTCAAAGAACACACCCTCACCCTCAAAAGGCTAGATTTCCAGGCAGACAGCAACAATCTTGCTGTGTTTTTATTCTTTACAAACATATTTTTTGAAAAGCCAGGATCAAGCCAATGTTAGGACTTGTCTTTGTGCATCTTTGTGATGCTCTGTCATTGAATATTGAGTTTCTGCATTTTCTCCCACTCTCTCCTCCTCTTCCTAATCATATTTGGGATATAGTTATTTAAAAAAAAAATCAAAGCCAGGTTGTGGCTTTTGTTTTAAAGTTTTTTTGAGAATTTGGTGCTACCCTTTGAATGAATGTCTTTGTAAAGCTGGGATGGGAGATCATTTGGTTGGGGCTAGGTAGCTGTAGGGCCAGAGGCATGCCCTCATTGACTTAGAGCTTTCTGCCTTCTGCACACCGGTATGTCATGGGGCTTAGTGTTCTTTTTGTTTTCCATTTCTAGGAAAATTATAATTTCTTGAACAAAAAAATTAACTACAAATGGGACTTTGTCATTATGCAGGCCAAAGAGCAGTACAGGTAAGTGGAAGAAAATGTTTGTCCACTGGCTGTCCTTCCTTCCTCCCTTCTTTCTTTGTTTCTTTTTATTAAAACAAACCTTTCTTGGGCACTTATGTATCCAGCAGTGGGCTGGGCCTGGGGAATATAAAGGCACAGTCTGGGGTCAGGTGGATGGGCAAACAGGCTGTGACGCTACACAGAGGAGAGGGCCTCGCACAGGTGTTTCCAAAAGGAGCTGGAGGAACAATATTGAACCTGGAAGCTGCATAGATGTTTTCCAAGAATGGTGGTGGTGGAGGGAGAGGAAGGGTGAGGTGTGAGGAGGATCTTCTAAGCAGACAGAACCAGGTTCTGGAGTCAGAAGATCCCCTGCTTGACGCAGTTCTGTGTAGCTGAAGCAGAGAGCAGGGAGCCTGGGACTAAAGGAGTGAGACCTGAGATGTCAACTGGAGCAGGTCATGAGCGGGTTTTGTGCTAAGGGCCCTGAGGAGCCATAAAAAGCTTAAGTGGGTTCGTGTGGTAGAACCACCCACTGCTGCTCTCATTTGCCTGCTGTCCACTTCAGAACTAGAGCCGGAAGTCCCTGGAAGGCTCTGCCTTGTCTCTGAGAGCCACGTGTACATGTTGGAGAGAATGAATCAGTCAGAATGAGGTCAGGCTGTTGTAACAAACAGCCCCGAGGTCCTGGGAGCACGAAACCATGGGTTCATTTCTTGCTTGTGTTACATGTCCACTTGGTTAGCGGGGGCCCCGACGTGCCTTGTGCCCACTCCAGAAGCCATGCTGAAGGAAGAGCACCATCCAGGCTTTGCCTGTTGCTGGAACAGAGGGAAACAAAGCCTGTGCAGGTCACAAGTGATGCATGTCACTTCTGTTCACAATGCATTAGCCAGAGCAGCTCCGCATATGATTGTGCCCAACTTCAAAGGTATTTGGGTAGGGATGTATGATCCTACTGTGTGCCTGTGACATAGGGGAGTCAGAATACCTGGAGACCGATACCAGATAGTACCAAAATGGGTAAGTCTGGAGGGCCCAGCCACTCACTCTGGCAGGTCCAGTTTCTGGAGGGTCTGCCTTTGCTGGTGCATAGTTGGGCTGGACAGCAGGCTCTCATCAAGTGGCCTTAGGACTGGAGTAATAGGGATTGTAGGGGCTCTCTAGAGAATAGGATATATATGTATGTATGTATATCGAGAGATTTATGATAAGGCATTGGCTCACACAATTTCAGAGGCTGAGAAGTCACAAGATCTGCATTTGGCAGGCTGGGGACCCAGGAGTCAATGTTTTAGTTGAGTCCGAGGGCAGGAAGACTGATGTCCCAGCTCAAGGCCATCAGGCAGGAGGAGTTCCTTGTCATTTAGGGAAGCATCATCCCTTTTGTTCCACTCAGGCCTTCAACTTAAAATACTTTCATCGGAAAACACCCTCAGGGATACACCCAGAATAATATTTGGCCAAATATCTAGGTGTCCCATGACGCAGTCAAGTTGACCAATAAAATTAGCCATCACAAGAGGTGAGCACTGTTATGCAGGAGTGCCAGTTTGGGAAACACAAAAATTCTAATTGCAGATGGTTTTATTGCCTCCAAGGGGAAATATCTGCTCTGAGGCTTGAGATTCAGGTAGGGCAGCATTACTCAGAGATCTGGCTTGGGCCTTTCACCGTTGACATGTTTCTGCCCGGCTATGTCAGAGACAGAGCAGCTGCGGGGAATGCTCTAACTTCCCATCACTTGTATTTGCTCGTAAGGCTTCATTTGGTGAGCTCTGCTTACGGTCTCCAGTTTTGAGTTTCTACTGCGTTCCACACTGAAATAGAACCTCCCCATCCTCCTCCAGCTCTCTGCTCTTAGCAGGAAGGATAGCCCAGTGATCCCCAGGATCATAGATCCTGACATAGACTTTTCAGGACACGCTAGCTGCCTGTGCAGTTCAGGGCTATTTTCAGTGGCTTTCACATACCCCACCACTTGGGCCTTGGCCTCAGCCTAGATAAAGCTCCATGCTGTCCGTGTCATAGGACATCCTCCCCTCCATCCCTTCCAGATACCTTGGGATGAGAAATTTATAAAAGGTTCTCACCTTCTGAGATACTGGCTTTTCCCCACTGATTCCATTGCTTGACTCAAAGGCTGCCTCCGATTTCAGATTTTGTGTCTGCAGGGGCTAATTTTGTGTGTCAACTTGTCTAGGCCACAGTGCCTAGATAAGTGGCCCACTACCAGTCCAAGATGACATTGTAAAGTCATTTTTTAAAAAATTTTTGATTTTTAAGGAATCTCTATGCCCAGTGTGGGGCTCAAACTCACAACCCCGAGATCAAGTCTCATGCCCCATAGACTGATCTAGCCAGATGCCCTGTAAAGTTGTTTTTTAGATGAGATTAACATTTAAGTCAGTAGTCTTTGAGTAAAGTAGATTATGTCCATTGTGTGGGTGGGCCTTGTCTAATCAGTTGAAGGCCTTAAGAATAAAGACAGGTTTTCTGAGGCAGGAGTTCTGCTTCTAGGTTGCCTTTGGAATCAGATTGCAACATCAACCCTTCCCTGGGTCTCCAGCCTGCTGGCATGTCCTGCAGAATTTGGACTTGCCAGCTACCTCAATTGTGTGTTATTCCTTAAAATAAATAAATTGTGCCTCTGTCTATCTATCTATCTAATCTCCTACTGTTTCTGTTTCTCTGCAGAGCCCTGATTAATACAAACAGAGGGTCTCACCACAAAATTGGGTTGCCTCATGAGGCATCCGTTTTGTCATCCTAAGCCTCTCCACATACACCTCTTTTCTGAACCCCAGACTCCGTATCTAGCTACTTAACATTGCATGTTGATGTCACACCTCCAACTCACTTGTTCGTATTTGAGTGTTTCTCTCCCTCATACCCCAAACCTCTACCTCTAGTGTTACCCACACCCGTGCAAGGGACCCCATTTTCCTCCCACCCCCAAGCCCCCATGCCCAGGATCTAGTCATCCAGTCCTGTGGGCCACCCCTGGCAAAACTCCTTCCACCCTACCTGCCCTCTTCCATCAGCCCCCACCTCCCTGCCCTGGGACACCACACACAGAGCGCCGTAAACAACAGACATTTATTTTCTCATGGTTTGGGAGGTTGCGAAGTCCCAGCTCAAGGTTATGGCAGGGCTTAGTTTCTGGTGAGGACTCTTTCTGGCTTTCAGATGGCCACCTTCTTGTGTCCTCACAGGAGAGGAAGAGAGAGGGAGTGTCTCCTGTTACACCCATCACAGAAGCAATGCCAGGAGGGACCATTGTTGTCAGTTAGCCACTGGCTCTATGTACAAGTCCCTCTGCCATGGTAGAGACCGCACGGTGCCTCAGGCCATCTGTGTCCCACCCTCCTGAGGCTGCAGGGTCGTTAACCTGGTGGAAAATGCAGTTAGGCTGGCAAGGGGGAGTGGAAATGACAGTGTTCATATTTAATTTCCAGAGGAGGTTGGCACAACAGCCCACCGGAATGGCACTCTCCTTCCATCTGGCTCTCTAAATGCGATGGTGATTATTCACAATCCATGAGCGGGCACATAAATCTGCCGTCCCTGTCTCGGGGAGGGCACATGCGTCATCCCACGTTGCCCGGGCAAACAAGCATCCGTGTGTGAGTGCAGGTCGCCGTGGAAATGGTGCTGAATGAGACCCACGGCATGATTGTTCACGTGGCCTGGCTTCCGTGGGAGGGAAGCGCGGCATCGTTTCCTCTCCGTCGTGGGGAAAGGGGGAGACAGAGATAAGCGGGAAAATAAATAGCCTTTTACGATCATCAGTGAGGTCTGGAAAAACCCTGAGACGGAGCGGAAGGGACAGGGAGGAAGGCACACGGACCCCTCCGCCCCCCTCCCCCAGACCCAGAATTTTCCCTGGCACGGAGCACAGGCATGGCCAGATGTTGACGACGCTGTTTATCACCACAGGGAAACGTGAAGCCAGAGGTGTCAGATACCAGCCCAGAATGTCACCCACACCCACTGCAGGGGTGCAGGTGGTGGAGGTCTGATGCTGGGGCCAGTCACGCTGGAGTGGCCGCACGGCACTCAGGCGGAGCTGGACCCAGGGGCCGCAGGCGGGTTCGAGTCCCACTCTGCTCCTTGCTGACGGTGTGACCCTCCGCGGAGCACATTCAGGCTGTCTCTGCTTCCGTCCCTGGAGCCTCTAAGTCTGGGGGACGAGGTCCCTGGGGGGATTAAGTGAGTTAGTGCTCGTGTGATACTTGCATTTGCTGTGATTATGATTCTGGCAAACACAGATTACTTGGACAGGCGGGGAGAATAGTCTGGGGCATCAGGAGTGGGGTACATCACTGAGCAAAAATGCGAAGTCTGACTGGCCTTTACGTGGCTTTTGGCTTTTCAGGACCGGAAAGGAAAGGACTAAGGCAGACAGGTATGCGTTGGATTGCCAGGAGAAGGCGTATTGGCTGGTCCACCGATGCCCCGTGAGTATTGGCCTTCCTGGCTCAGCTGCCTCCCCCAGCTCACGCCTCCTCCACCCCCACCCTGTACTCATCACCCCTTTTGCTGGTCCATTTCCCGCTGGGGCTGCAACGGAGTCTCTCAGTGTTGGGTCAGCGTCCGAGCAACTCTTGGTGGAAGAGGACAGAGACTGCCTGCGTGGAGTGAGCTCATGGTTCCTCTGGTGGTGTTGGGTCTAAGCAAAGTGACCTCTGGGAGGAAGCCAAATGAGCTTGTCTTTTAGGAGGGCTGGATTTTTTTTTTTTTTGGCTGTGACACCTTGGAAAAAGAATACAAGAAGAAAAAACTAGAACCCAGACTCCCCATAAAATGCAGCAGAAAACTGGAAGTCTGCACAGCCCAAGCCAGGCCTTGTGTCTCTTGCTTCCTCTCCTTTTCCTTTTCCAGCTCCGTCCCCAGCAGCTGCGGTGGGAGGAGGCGAGAAGGAGCGAGTGTGTGCCGTGCCTCATGCCTTAGAGCACATTGTGTGTCTAGCTCAGGGACTTTAGGGGCCCAGAGACACAGGCTGGGCATAAGTAATGTGGCTCGTTATGGCTCATTACCGGGAATGGTCACCTTAACTGGTGACCATCAGGTTAACTGGGGTTAACCCTGCTGCCTCAGTTTCCACCTGGGGCAGACCTGGGTACTGCCGACGGGTCACTGGAGGTGGGAGATGTCAGAGGGATTCTGGAACATGAAGAGGTCAAAGCGAATGTTCTTCCTCTTCGTCCTTTAGTTTCCCTGCTTCTCAGCTGACCACATTCTCAGGACCAGAAAGTGACCTGGGCTGGTCACTGTGCCAAAGCTTCTGGATCTTGGACCTTGGAACTCATCAGATTTTGGCCATTTTGCTTGTTTTCTTTCTAAATTTAAAGCAGATAACGTGTACGGCGTTCCGTCTGTGGGGGTGTTGGTTTCCATGCCTCACTGCTTAGATTAAGGTCCTGAGATTAAGGGGTAGATCCCCAAGAAGCTCGTTTGGTTTTGCTTTGTTCCAGGATTCCTCCTCTAGACAAATCAGTTAACTGATGCCTGACACAGGTCCCCGGAGCTGGGTGAAGGAGTACACGGCTGGGATGAGAGTGTTCTAGAGAAACAGCCAAGCACACGTTCCCCCGCTCTCCCCACCGCCTCATTGTAGCTCAGGAGTGAGATCTTTGGAGGACAAGGACACTGGCATTGTTCAGCCTGCCTTCTGTCATCTGTTCCTGAAGGGGGAGCCTGGGCGGGGATAAGGGCACAAGGAGTGGGGAAGCCACTCATTGGGCAAGACACCCTGGTGCCCGTGGCACTCATGATGGGGAGGGGACCCTGCTCCTTGCAGGGTGGAGAATGGCTTCATGTTACTTGCAGAGACCCCATGGTGGGGAAATGCCGACGTGACTGTGTCCCTGGCAAAGTGGCATAGGCTGGTGGTGCCCAGAACCTGCCCTGGGTCTCTCTCCTCCCCTCTGTCCCTGAAATCAGGAGACCCATAGGGGACGAAGTGCAAAACAGATGATCTGAGTTTCCCCCACTTCTCCGGGGACAAGCTCTCGACCCCTGTACCAGGCAGATGGCTGAGAGGTTCTTCACAGTATGATGCAGAACTCCCTAAAATTTGACCATGTGACTCTCTGATTACTGCTTCCGCCATCACCTGCCCCACCTCCACTCCCCACTCTCCCCCACTGCTGCCACTTCCTCTGCCTCCACCATCACCATCATCATCATCATCACCATCACGGCAGACCTGAACTGCATACATCACTGTGTGCTGGGCACTGTGCTGGGCTTCACTCTGGGTCTGTTCTCTCATTTCATCTTCACAGCCCTGGGTAGAAGGTGCTTCTATTCATCCCATTCTGCAGATGGGAAAGCTGAGGCTCAGGGATGTTGCTAGAATTGCACAGCTAGCAAGGGCCAGACTGCAGAGTACTCTCTCCTGGCCCCTGTGCTCTTCTGCCTCCCCCCACAATGGCATGGGATGTCTTAGGGCATCTTCTGTCACCTCCTTGGTCATTAGACCATCGCATGAGTCCCTGCTACCTTAACAAGACACTGGGGTTCAAAGGTAGCCCGTCCCTCTTTGAGAGCACCGGGGAGCTGAGTTCTCAATGAGGTTCTGATGTCCCTGGAACCATTGTAAAACCCCATGGACACAAAACTGTTTTTCACGTCCAGTCTCTGGAAGTGCTGTTTCCTGGGTCCAGATTGCATGGGCGGCCCAAGATGGGGCTGGGCTGCCTGTGGGTCCTGCTCTCCCCGACTTCCCTCAACCACCGGCAGTCTCTGGGCGGGGTGTTCTGTTTGAAGGGCATCCTGCTGGAAGTCTGTCTCAGCCTAGAAATTGAGCAGTCTCCCTGACAAACCCGCGAAGCCCGGGAGCTTAGGGGCTGTCAGACCGTCTCCAGGAGACCCAAACAGACTGTCAGTTTGGTGGGAAGAGAGCCAGCCAGGCAGACTAACTTTTGGCTCCATGAAGCATGGAGCAGCTGGTCTGTGGATTGTCTGTAACCAACTGTCGTAGCACAGGACGCGGCTTGCTGTCCCGCAGCGGTTCCCTTGTTCCCTTGTCTGTTCCTTGATCTGTGAAACCTTCACGGGCTCTGACTCTATGCCTGCTGAGTTTGGTGCTGAGCATAAAATAACAGCTAAAAATCATCGAGCACTTGCTGCGTGCCCGTGGTAAGCTCTCGGTGGGGACCATCCTGCTCACCTGATGATGATGCTGGCGAGTAGGGAGTCTCCCCACCTCCAGCATTCAGATGGGGCGACCAAGGCTTAGAGAAGGCCAGGAGGTTGCACAGCCCTGGGGTGTGAATCTACTTCTGTCTGATGGGCTGCTAGGAGGGGACACCCACATGAGTGTGGTGTCAGATACTGTATCAGGGATATGATCGTGGGCAGAGGCCAGGCCCAGATGTGGGTGGTGGCAGCTGAGGGATGTGACCCAACCCCCATCCTGAGCCCAGATGTTGCCTGGGACTCAGCATCCGGGTACTAAGGACAGGGTCTAGAAGGGTAGAATAGCGAAGGAAAACGATGTTCCTCTCTTGTTTTTTACCCAAGTGAAACAGAGTGCAGATCTGGACGGGAGGCAAACAGTTAATTGTGTAAATCAACAGAGAGAGAATGGTTCCCTTAGAGAAGTCATCTGGGGGCCTTTGGTGCATCTTTGTGGCACTGTCTGTGACTTCTGAGTCTCAGAAGTGAAGTGGACCCGAAGTCACAGAAGTCACAGTGGACCCGAGGATAGGGTCCACTCACATAGGGACTGTGGATATATGGAGACCGTGGTCCAGGGACAGTGACGCTGTGTGCTCTAATCCACGGGGTCTCTTGTCTGAATGTCATCTAAGTGGCCTTCCTGTGAGCCACCAACACTGACACTCACCAGAGAAGAAGGTTCTGCCTCCTGTTTCCAGTCGAGGTCGAGCTAAATGTCCAACAACAGAGAAACAGCAGAATAGATTTAAATAAATAGATACATTTAAATCTTTAAACATGAGACGATATCCACATGAGGGAGCATTAGGAAGCTATTAAAAATTTGTATTTTCCAAGGCCATTCATTGACCTAGGAAAATGGTCTGACCTATAACGTGATGTCATAAGAACAGGTGGAAAACCCACATATTCTGTCTGATTCAAAGGAAGAAAGAAGTCGACATCTAGTTTGTGGGTGTCCACCCTGTACCAGGTGGGGGTATTTGAACGATGAGCCAGGACAGACGGCGGCCTGCGCCCTCGAGGAGCTGACAGTCTGGTGGAGAGACAGAGACAGAAGCGAGTGCGCAGGCAAATGGTGTATGGAAAGACAGGACAGCTGGAAAGAGTCAGGGGTCCTGCGTCAGCTCAGGGTCTGGGCACAGCTCCCCAGGGAAGTGCTGTTCCAGCCAAAACCCATCTCCCCACCGCTGCCCCAGCTCTGCCTCTTTCCGCTGCTTTGTTTTGTTGATATAGCTATTTGGTATTTTATTATTTGTGTTCTGTCCCATGCACCAGAATCGACTGAGCTGATACATTAGGAAGAAGAGTGATGATGAAGGAGAACAGAACAGAAGAAGGGACAGGAGGGATAGGGAGGAATGCCACCAACAGTGTCCTTCAGCTCCCGGTGGGGTGCTGCTTTGGAATGCTGATTCTGGGGATGTCGCCTCCTCATGGAGCAGTCGTGGGGGTGGTACAGAGGTTCTTTCCTAACCTAAATTATGATGCATTTAGCAAATTGCCTCTTCAGCTTATGCCCGAGGGGGGTGTTCCCGGGGTGTCACACCCTGGTGCTCACCGAGGGAGGGTTGGCTGTCTGTGGGCTGTCTGCGTGTGGCACTGGGGCTGGATGGGTCTGCGTGTCTCCTTATCCGCTAGCGGCCCTCCACAGGGATTACCCTGGTTTCCTGTGCACTGGCAGGCAGCTCTGGGTCACCTGAGTGTCGATCACCCTCACCTGGCAGAAACTACATCAGCAGTGGTCGTGGGGAGCAAAGACTTGATGCTATCTGATGAATGGATGGATGGATGGAGGGAGGAAGGGAGGGAGGGAGCCAGCCAGCTGGGGAGTCTTCCAAACCAGCGGAGGTACAAAGGCAGCTGCCTGGGCAGTTCTGAAGTTAGGGCGCTGGGAGGGGACCGTGGCTCAGTGGGGAGCGACTGACACCTCAGAGATGCACGGGGTGGGGGGGGGCAACGAAGTGGCCGGTGCTCATTACTGTTATGCAGGCGCACCTGTGAGTGCTGGGGCAGCCAGAGTGATAGCAGAACGTGGGTCAAGTTCACAGGAAAGATTTGGAGAACTAACTCAAGACTTGGGCAGACAACTGCTCCAAAGTGCTGAGGTTGTGAGGGCCAGGAGTGCGGGCTGTGTGTGTGTGTGTGTGTGTGTGTGTCTTAAGTTACCCCAGGGGGATTTCTTTGTACCAGATGGAAAGGACAGTTCCTAGAACTCACTTTAGGGAAAGGCACAGATTCTGATGACCGTCTTCCAGTCCCGTCCCCCCAGTCCCTGCCCCCTTTGCTAGGTTCCATCCGTGGAAGACTGGCTTGGAGTTCTGTATTGTCCCTTGTAGCACTTGTCACAACTGTGATGTATCATTTGTTTGATAAATTGCCAAGTGCCTTGCCCATGAGACCAGAAGTGCCTTGAGATGCCAGCTGGAAATGCCTGGAAGTGTCACATTCCCCACAGGCTCCCAGGCTGAGCACGATGTCAGCCATGGGAAGTGCCTGATAACTATTTGTTGATGGAGGTCCACGTCTGTGACAGCGGGGGTGAGGACAGCCACTCCCTTAACCCTGTCTTTTTCCCCACTGATTTTCCACTACGTTCTTTCTTCTCTTCCTTGCCTCTGCTCTGTGCCCAATATGTGCCCCCCATGGTAGCCTGCTGAGCTAAGTTGGCCAATTTAGCAAGTAAAATAGAGGATGCCCAGCTAAGTTTGAATTTCAGATAAACGGCAAATGATTCATGTCACATTATTTTTATGTTTATGGTATATTTATATCAAAAGCATATGGAATATATTTTTATGTAAATCATATATCAAAATTATCTGTCATTTGTCTGAACGTCCAGCCTAACTGGGCATCCTGTATTTTCCTTGGCAACCATCCCTCTGGACCGAACATGTGGGTGAGCTTGAATCTGATGGGGGGAAAGCTCAGCGGCCTTCTGCCTCAGTATAGTGGGCCTGGTTGGTCCCATGTGCTGGGAACTTGATGGTGGCCTGCAAAAAAACTAACAGAAAAGAACATAGAAGACCCAACTTTCTGGCCAAGGAATTGGGAGAGACCAAGCAAGATTGGCTGCAGATTTGGTTTCCTGATAGAGAAGGGGACTGGTAACGACTGAGGGCCCCTCTTTAGGCCAGGACTTTACAAACACCATCTTAAAATGAATACAAGCCCTTGCTCAGTAATTGCTACCCTCTGGTGAGAGCTTTCTTTGCACATCATCTTGTTAAGTCTTCGGCAAGAACTTGATGGGTAGGAGGGATCATCTCCATTTCTCAGGAGAGGTAGCAAGTGTAGAGAGAAGTAGTTTCCAAAATCTTCCTCACTGCTAGGAAGTAGCAGATTGAGGACTGAAACCCAAAGGTGCTGACTGAAGCCCAAATTCTTCAAAGTACTGCCTTATAAATTGGGGGGTGGGGAAGGAGCACTGCCAGAGGAGTCAGAGTCCCATGTACTAATCCCAGTGAACTCTTGAGTTTAAGATTTATCCTTCCTTCTTTCCTTCCTTCTCTCCATCCATCCATCTACCAGTCCTTCCTTCCTTCCTTCTATCCATCCATCCATCCATCTACCAATCCACCCACCCATCGATTCCTTCCATTCACCCATCTGTCCACCCATCCATCAACCCATTCCTTTCCTCCCTCCCTCCCATCCATCCATCCTTCCATCCATCTATCTGTCCATCTATCCATCTATCTATCCATCTGTTCTCCCACCACCCTACACAATTACCCACCCACACATTCATCCTACTGTGTTGGGTTCTGGGGATGCCGTGGTGGTGGAACAGCCCCATGAAGCTTCCCAGCTCACCCAGAGGGTCTTACAACAGCTGTGGTTCCCCATGGGCTAAGCCGCAAGCCCTTCTCATCTCAGTCTCATTATTGGCAGTTTGACCAAGACCCAAAGTTAATCAGAAACTGGAGATTCTTCCAGTGGTGGTTCTTACACTCTTTTTATTCCATTCAGCCGGGAATGAACAACGTGCTGGACTATGGCCTGGACCGAGTGACCAATCCGAATGAGGTTCAGGTAAACCAGGTAGGTCTAGGCTGCATACTTTGGGTAGGGCCTGGGTCAAGTTCTTAGGCTGGGAAGGTGTCCACACGACTATTGTCTATTTGTCTTTGTTGGGGCAATGATGTAGCCCTTTTGGGACTGCCAAAAAGATATCTTGTGATGCCAGTGCCAGGAAGGAGGCCGGCTGTGACCAGGGTCTTGCGTGATGAGAGACGAGAGAATGTGGAGTACGGGTCAGAGCAGATGGGATGTAGGTGGTTGGGTTTCAGACTTCTTCTGAGGCAGATCTCCCTTAGAAAACTTGATGAAAATTATGTACCCATTTCCTCCAAAGATGCCCATACAGATGTTTTGCCCACAATTTCAGCCAGTTCCCTGACCTCCTAGAGACTGTAGGTCCCAGGCTCAAAACCCTTGAATCAACTTTGGGTTTAGTTAAACTTTAATCCACATGACCCAGAATGTTACACTTTTCTTTTGCATCTCAGTAGGGCAGGACCTTTGCAAAGATTCTCTTATGCTTTTAGTTTTAGAGGGACTCTTTTCCCAAATGGGCCACCATTTATGATGGGTGGCCATATTCCCAAGACAGTTTTTTAATTTAAAGAAATGCAGTGCATGAGCTATGGAAACAGGGGGCATCGAGGGTAAAGCTTCTCAACCATGGCACTGTTATTTGGGGCCAGATAATTCCTTGGGAGGATTTCCTGCATGTCCTACAGGATGTTTGGAAGCACCTCTGGACTCTGCCCACTGGACACCAGTAACTCCATGCCTTTCCCCACCAGCCTCCCAGTCCTGACAATCACAGATGTCCCAGATGTTGTCCAGTGTGCCTGGGGAATACGAGGGCCCCGAATAAAAACTGTGGAGCCTAAAACTCACTTGAACTAGTCTTACATGGTTCTATGGCTTTCTGTCTAATGTTGTCCATGGGCAGCAAGGGGTCAGGGACATTTCAGCCTCGTGTGTCACCTCTAAGCCTTGGCAGTGCCTAACAGCTTGAGTGGAAGATGGGAGGAATATGCCAGAAAGGAGGAAGAAGGCAGGCTGCTGGGACCTGGAACTCAAGGGTCCAGTGCATGAGACAGAGGCGTGGGTTTAGGGATGGAGTTCATGTGGTGAGGGGACATCGAGTCTCCAGAGGATGTCCCTTGCCCACAACTCAAAGTGACCCTGCCTTTAATACATGTATGGGACTGTCAGCCTTCATTGCCTTTTCGACGTTTACCTCATCAGATGAAGGATAATTGCTGAGGCTTGTAGGCTTGGTTGCTATGGAAACAAAAGCATCAAGGAAAATACTAAACCGGGGACGAAGATCTGCTTTTTTTTTTTTTTTTTAATGGAAAACTGGCAGTTCTGGAAATCTCTGTGGTGTGGAGGAGGGGAGGGTACAGGTGGAAAGCACATCACTCTACTCTGACCCCAGCCTGCTGGGATTTGGCTTACTGTGTGTATGTGTATGTGTGTGTGTGTGTGTGTGTGTGTGTGTGTGTACACGTGTGTCTATGGTGTAGGGGGCCTTACCCTCCAGCTCTGGGAGGACAGCCAAGGAGCTGAGGTGCTCTCTCCTCCATGCTATTTGGGGGGTAGCTCCCAAGAAGCCTGGCCAGACCCCTTCTCACTGGAAGCATCTTTAGGCTCACGGGCAGTCAGACTGGGAGAGGAGCTTACCTTCTGGCACTTTCTACCCACTCCTTGCCAGATGCCGGTGATACTGTCACCCTGAGTCAGAGCACCAGACAGTGTGTGAGGCTGGGGGCTGTCCCTCCCGCAGCCATGTTTGACCTGGGGAAGTGTACCCTTTGTTTACCCCTCCTTTCTCTATCTCTCTCTCACCAGCTCTCTTTCTCCTGTCTGCACTCGGGCTGCTCTGGAATATTCCGAAGAATAAAGCACCGTAATTCTCATGCGAGTGGGGCCTGTGCTGCCCTGCCAGCCCCAGTGTGTGTCAGGCCCAGCCACTGGAAGGACGGAGGCTGGTGCCATGTTTGATGTGTTGACAGCGTTCCCCACCGACTGATTAAGTGTCCTCCGTTCTCCCCGGTTTGTCTGCTCTGAGGGGGAGAGGGTCGAGAGAACGTGAGGTGTCTCCGTGAGGCCTTGGGCATGCAGAGGTTCCGGATTTTTGTCTCATTCCAGAGAAGGGCTCTCATTCCTGGTTTGAAGAGAAGCCTTTCTGAGAATTAGTAAATTCTTGAAAAGCTGCCTGTTTTCCTTAAATGGAGGCAAATAACCCAAAAGAAATGAACACCAGCAAGCATAAGAACGAGGCTGCTCGGTTCGTGGTGTCCTGGGGCTCCAGGTGACCCACCCCTGCAGGCTGGTGGTTGCTGGTTGGTGTGGCCGCCCAGCCCTGGGAGGAGCTGCCTGTGGTCCCAGGGCCACACCCAGAAAGTGTGTCCTCTCTCAGTTTCCCTGCCTTGGGACACACACAGCCCCCCATCTTCCATCTTCCTTTTACTTCACTGAAGAGACAAAATGGCGGCTGGGCACTAGCCTGGCCATGGGTGGTGGTATGCCCGGGGCTGACCCTTCCTCTCCTGACCCAGATAGGGTGACTGTAGTCATTTTGTGATGAGGCCCAGTGTGGTGTGCTGAAGAAAGTTTGACCTCATCGTGAGTCCCAGCTCAGCCACTCCCTGGACGTGTGATCTTGGACAAGCTCTTGAGTTATTCAAAGCCTTAAGTTTCCTTATCCACAAAATGGGAATAACAGTAGCTCCTTCCTCAGAGGATTAAATGAGATCATTTATGCAAAGTGTCTGCAATGGTGTCCAACATGTAGAGGCACTCCATGGACAGTAGCTGCCATTTTCCCAACAGTTGCCATGCTGTGTGAGGTCATTTCTGGGATGGTGCAGGAGAGGGTCCTGGACTTTTCTAAAGGACAGAGAGGGAATGGGACTGGGGAGGGGAGGGACGGCTTAGGAAAGAGAACGGACTTCCAGATGGGGCCCAGGTCAGATTCCTGGTTCTGTCACTCATTGGCTCCATGACTTCCCAGGTCTTGCTCTTTTCTGATCCCACGATCCCTCCCCACCCTCCCCCACCCCAACCACACCTTTCCAGTGTGCCCCCAGGGTCACTATCATGGGGGGATGACCTGGGCACTGGGCCACAGTTCCACACTCAGTAGGGCTCTGCACTTGGGTTCATTTCGCCTGGCACCACCTTAAAATGCTTTCTTTGGACGAGGGGTCCTGCAGCTGCGTTTTGCACAAGGCCCTTCAAATTACACAGTCTGTCCCACCTCCACCCAGATCAGGAAGCTCACGGCAGGACAGACAACCTCAGGTGATCGCAACCTCAAATTCTTGAGTCTTTGGGCAGGGAGCTTCCTCCCCTCTCTTATCTGCTTTGCATTAACTCTATCAGTCCCCAGACCTCCTGGTTTCTGACTTTTGACCCCCTCTCTGCTCTCAATGCCTATGTTCCCCGATTCCTCATGGTTGTCTCTATCTCACGTCTCTGTGACTAGCCTAACCCCTCACCTCTGTTTCCCCGTATGTTCCTGCCTGGCTGCCTGGTCTCAAGGTCCTTGCTTGTCCCTCCTTCTCGCTTCCACATCCCTGTCTGCAGTGTCCCCAGGGTCTCCCAGGGCATGGCCCCACTGACCCCTCCCACCTGTCCTGATTGTCTGCAGCCTGCCCCCTGGGGTTGGGAGGCCAACAAGCCCCCCACACAGCTGTGTAAACAGGCTCTAGAGGCGTCCCTATTTGGGTAACTCTACGAGGGGAAAAGAATAAGTTAGAATTCTAAGAATGCGTAGCATTTGACGATTCCTTAGGCAGAGTATCTTACCGTAGCAAAGTGTGTCCCTTGGATGAGGAATAAGGCCGTAACTTCCCTCCAGGAGGGCCACCTGTCAAGAAGGCAGGGAGCCTGTGCATGAATTACAGGGAGGAAAAAAAATGCTCATTTCTTACATTGTCATGAAGCGGTTGTCTTTGAATTGCTTAGAAAGGGGTGCACGTGTGTGTGTGTGTGTGTGTGTGTGTGTGTGTGTGTGTGTGCGCATTCTTAATTATTCCACTTTATGTCTTTTTTATGGTCTTTGGCTAAGTAATAATAACATGGGCAGGTTTACGAGATTTAGCAAATAAAAGTACTGGATTCTCAGTTGAATGTGATTATCAGGTAGACGATGAATAACTTCTTTAGTGTACGTATGTCCCCCAAATTGCAGGGGCGTCCTGGGTTTGTCTTGGAGTTGGGGGTCTACACCGCACTGTGCCTACTCTACGCAGCAGTGCATGAACCCTACTCCGTGGCTGCTGTCTATTGAGCCTCTGCTCTGTGCCTGTCCCCTCTGCGTATTATCTCATTTAATACCCTCCCCCTTTTCTGATCCCCTTTTACAAATGAGGAAAGAGGCTTTGACAGCTAAACAGCTCATCTAAAGTTGTGGAGCCAATAAGTGACAGAACCAGGAATTTGACCTGGGCCCCATCTGGAAGTCTGTTCTCTTTCCTAAGCCATCCCTCCCCTCCCCAATCCCATTCCTTCTCTGTCTTTTAGAAAAGTCTGGGACCCTCTCCTGTACCATCCCTATGTCCACATACCCCTAACAGGACAGAGATGCCCTGTATGTCCGTCTAGAGGAAGCTGATTCCAAGGAAAGCTATTTTTACAGCTAGAAAGCGGTAAAATCCATGTGGGAAATCCAAGGTAGAGGTAGGGAAGCCTTGGATTCCACGGAAGCCACTGCCGTCCGGCTCCTAGAGGGTGGCTGGTAATCTTAGGAACCCGAAAACAGTTGGCAAACTGCACCAGCAAAGCAGAAGCCCTTGTGGGGTAATACAATCAAATAAAGTGAATTAAAATATTCAACATTTTAACACACCGAAAACTGAGATCATGGTCCCAGACACATATTAGGCTGAAAGCCAGGCCAGGCCAGGTAAAGGGGAGATGACAGAGTACACGTGATTATGGTTCACTCGCAGGGACAGCTTGCCTCGGGGCCCAGAGAAGGTCAGGCGGACTGAAAATCTGGCTCACTTTGTCTCTGTTGGTCCACTCAGGAGCCCCGAGCCTGCAGGAGGTTTGATCTGGGCTCCTGGGCACTTGGCAGGAGGGTGTTCGTGCCCTCTGGCTGCTGAGCCCAGGTCTAGTATGATTGTGATCATCACCATGGTTAGTGTTTTCTCTTCCTTAGCCTTATTGAGAGGTCAACATATAATGCATATAAATTTAAGGTGCACAGTGCGATCATGAGAGCTATGCGTATATTGTAAAATGATTACCACAATAAGGTTAGCCCATGCCTCCACGCCTTTAGAGAAATAAGATTTGTGTGTGTGCTGATGACATTTAAGATCTACTCTCTTTAACAACTTCCAAGTATATCAACGGTGTTGTTCATTAAAGCCACCGTGCTGTGTGTCCGACCCCCAGATCTCATTTCTCTTATAGCTGGGAGTTTGTTTTTCTGTCATTAGTGTTGACTAAGGAGTGTTTCCTGTCTTTCTGTTGCATTCTGTGATTGGGTCTTTGGCTCTCTTTTTGCTTTAATTTTAAACGGCATGGCTGGACTGAGCCAGTCCTCAGTACAGCACCCATGGCTTTAAGGCAAAGAAGGAACTGGTGAAGAGAGTAGGCTCTGTTCTGAGGCTTGTAGGTCGCTCCTCAGCTTTGCAAACAGAAAATCTAGGTTTCAATCCTGGCTCAACCAGTTACTGACAAGGAGGTAGGGAGAAAGTTGCCTGTAACATCTCAGGGGCCTCGTTATCCCCAGCTGGAAATCAGAATAAGAAAATGGCCCTTCCCTAAACTTTGTAAAGGATCAGAGAGATGTACATTGCTTTGTACTCGTTGCTAAGTGGTTACTCTTTTAGGCATAGGTCCAGCATCTGCTTTGAACAGAAGGTGTAGACCAGTAGGTAGGTTTCTTAATCCACTCGAGCACACTCTAACAAGAGAGTCTGATTATTAGATTTGAATGCAAAGTCACTCTGGTCCCGGGGTCCTTTTCTTCCTGAAACGTGAGTCTTCTCAAATAGTGCCTTATGTTAAGAGACAACAGAGACAGAAAATCAGTGTCATTGCCAAAAAGTCTTCAACTGTTGAGGTGGGAAAGTATTCTGTTATTAGACTACCTCTCCATTTTTCTAGGCTTCCAAGCACATGGCAGTCATCATTTATGTGAGGTTTTTTGAGCGTCTACTGTGCACCCGAAATTATGCTAGGGGCCGGCATGGTCACCCTGCTCTTAATAGAGCCTGGTGGGTGATACATGTATGAAACAGAATGACACAGACAAATATTTAATTACAGTTGTGGGTAAGTGCTATGAAGGAAGAAGTCAGGGTGCGTGTGAGCCCAAGACAGGGAGACCTACCATTAATTTTCTGAGATAACTCTCCTTACTCCCCTCACCCAGGAAAAAGTATTTCCTATGAAAAGCAATTACATAAAAGCAATCCAGTGAAGCAAAGTGAACCCCCACATGAGTTAGAAAAGAGAGATACGTATGGAAAGGAGAGATCAAACTCTCCTCCACTCCCTGTCAATGGGCTGATGGCCCAGTACTTATTTTGCTAACAGGCTAAGGGAAATAGTGTCCTCCTTGAGCTCCTGATTCCCTTCCCAGTGGAGATCTGGTTGTATTATTAAGCTGCTTGGAGGCTGATGGCCAGGAACGAAGATGATCAATTTAAAGTATGAGAGTCAGCACCAAGCAGCCAAACCTAGAAAAACCGAGACTGGAATTACCAACTGTGCCCAAATTCTGGGAGCTACACGGAGCGGAAAAGTGATGCTTAGAAAGCGTGTCAAGTTATAGAGAATTTTAGTAGGAGACAGGTATGAATGGTTTCCAGGAGCTTCTAAGAACCTATACATGGAGTCTCCTTCGAGAGCCAGCTTTTCTCTGCTATATTGCAGAAAATCCAGAGAGAAGGTGCCCTGCTACTCACCCCAGGCATGAACCTGCTCCGGCTGCTTCAACACGAGGATAGGACCCACCTGATATGTGGATATCACATGGATATACGTGGATACAGCTCTCCTCTGGGACTTAGCTTCTGGTGGACGCTGGTCTCAGTTTTTTAAATAGCGTGCTTTATGCTTGGCACGCTATTTATTGGCTCTTTCTACCCCCACCCCAATTTGCATTGGTCAAATTGTTATGAATACCCAAGGAATGGATCTCACCACTCATTCAGAGCTCTCTCCTGGGAGGAAAGAAACAAACATTCTAGCTGCCTACTTGTCTCCCCATCTGTGTGTCTCATTCCATTCAGGATGGCTCTGTAGGCACTCTTGTAGGTCGGGACCAATCCGAGACATAGTCTTGAATTCATCTTGGCTTTTGGGGGAACAGTGTACAGTTATAGTAGTAAATCGGACGCCTCTCCTCATCTGAGCCTTAGTGAATTAATTCTCCAGTGGTAGGGGTCATGGGGAAATCCTGTCTTTTAAGTAAGAAAAGGTGAAAAACTGTTTTTTTTTTTTTTTCATGGGCAAAGATTTTCATTCCTCAAATGGGTATTTGAACTGCAGTGACTTAATGGCATCTGTTTAATGGTTTTTCCTTCTTTGTTTTTACAGAAACAAACAGTCACTGCTGTCAGGAAAGAGGTAATTAGTTTCTCGGTCCCAGGGAAGTTTGATTTTTCAGTCCTCCAACAAATTACACGTATTTTGGCTTTGCGCTCTGCCCCTCAGTAATGAAATGAAAAGCCCTGTATCATGTTCAATTATTTCTAAATTAATGGACCACACAGAATGACAAAGCATCTTTTGTAAGATCTAAATGGATCCGTGCCGAGGCTCAGGATATGAAACACCATCAGAAGGCCCAGATCTAAGGGACGTGGGCTGACTGTCACAGCGGCTGCTTCCCCACCCCGGCCCCGGCTCCTACAATGACTGGGCCGTTCAGAATCTCTCTGAATAGGCACACTACCTATTGTGGCAAATCTTGTGTCCAGAGCCCAAGGCAGAGCCCTGGAAGGCACTGGCTCTTGAGGTTAGCTCTGCTTTGTGAACCAGAGGCCCCTGAGGGAAAAGCCAAGCATCTGTCCCCCTGTCTCGGTGTAATGCTCCTTACGACCTTTTGTATTTCCGGTTGGTGCCTTTTCCCAGACTGACACATGATGGGCTATGGAGGCCCCTCATTTGGAGTTTGGGTTCACCTGTCTACTGTGGACCTGTGCTCTGTTCATACCGTGGTGGGTGGCTTGAGGGAGGTGGCTTCCGGTTCTGGAGGCCACGTGCAAGGGCCAGTGTTAGCAACACTCAAGGGTGGGGAAGTTGGGCATCCTCTAATCACTCTGTCTCTTCCAGATCATGTATTACCAACAGGCCTTAATGAGGTCCACTGTGAAGTCTTCAGTGTCCCTTGGAGGGTATGTCCCTAATTTGTTGGTCTTGCTGAGGTTGGAATAAGAGGTAGACAAGAAGAGAACTTTCTGTTTTCAGGCAAACTTGAGCAGTCATGGGCTGGCACAAGCTCCTCAGGAACTCTGAGGGACGAAACCAGTCTTTTAAGGTTTCAATTCCTTGCTCCTCAGTCGGCATGGTCCAGGTGTCATCTTGGGTTGGGCAAATCAGGGATGGGTGAGGTTTTATATAAGCCTCGTTTCTCTTGGAAACCACTGCTGTGTGGATGGAGGTGGTGGGAAGAATTGGAAGTTCATAGACCGGGCCCTGTGGGGGAGCCACACCTGCCTGTGTTCCTATCAGTAACAACTCAAATTTATTAGAGATCTGTAGGCTATGTTTACTGGTTCAGTGTACTATTGAATGTCGAATGTTAATCTTTGATTTAAAATCCAGTTACGATAAATCGGAAATTCACATTTGACTTCTTGAACATTGAGGGCACCTCAAGCTAGTCCCCCATATGACATTACTGGGGAGACACAAAAGGATTTAGTGCCCCCCCCAATGTAAGCAGTTATTTTTTTAAAATGTGGAATTCATTTTAGGACCACCTTGTTAGCTCTAAGCTTTTCCTGCACGCACGAAAATGAACTTGGCTTGTTTCTGGAGGGTCACAGCCTGACTGATCATTTATTGTGACTGAGGCTTGAGTCATGGTGCCGATCAAGATGGAAGATGTTGTATTTTGCCCAGTGCCTTTCTTCCAGTAGGGCTAAGGGTTAGGCTCCTATAAAAATCTTCAGATACCTTTTTTACATCTTTCCAAATCCCTCATTTGCAAACATACCACCCAACTGAGAAAATGTGCCCTGAACTCCCCCACATTTTTCAACCACTTTTGTCTGCACCTGCTGAGCTCTGTTGGTCACAGAGGAGAGTGTGACCGTATACTCAGTGGACACTCAGCTTTAGGTTATAACGATAATCATTGCTGTATGATAAAGTAAAAACCATCTACCGTGATGTTCCAGAAACCCAATTTAATGAAACCAACCAGAAAGTGCATTGAAGGAGACTCAAAAGCTATCAGATACTCCTTATACCCGCTTTCCAATTTTTATCTGTTTTAGTGCTTCATTACCAGAATTCGACATCATTTGTGGTTGGACCTGTGGACCAGTTTTCTTTTCTCTTCCTTTCAGTTGCTCCCCTGTAAAGGTCTTGCTGAGAAAGAAGAGGGTCTTGGGCGAAATGAAGCCAAGGGGCTTGAGTTTTGCGCAGACCTAGAAACCTAATGCTCTGGGACATCTCTGGGGCATGGGTTCTGTTCTAACAAAATCTCCTGGATGTGGGCAGATGTCATAGCAGGTGTCTCATGGGTATACAGTGGATACAGGGCCCACCGAAGGGGTGAAGGCACAGCAGGTTTTCCAGACTGCCCGCACACCGGGAAATGTGCTGCTGGGAAGGTCTAACTCATGAAGAAGGCATTAGCTCTTGCTCACGTTTGTGAACGTGTGAACACACCTCAGTGAGACCACAGGCTCTAAAGGATGAATCTAAGTTCCCAAATTTGGGCGATCTGACAAAGAGTGGAACGTGACAACAGAATCTCAGAAGACCTCGTGCTTCCAAGATGGCGCCATGCAAATGGAGTTGGCTTTGAATTTGGAAGACTCCTGATCCCATATAAAAAGAGGGCTTATTTTAATGGACTCCTGATCCAATATATAAGGAGGGCTTATTTTAATGGAATGGTACAGTAGAGAAATTGCAAAGGGATTGGCTGGGAAGACAATCTTTCATGTCCCAAGTAGAAGAGGGACAGGTCCTGTCAAACACCTGCCAACCCCGAGGGCTATTCGAGCCTTTTTCTAAGAAGGCAGTAATAAGTATGTAACTAAATCGATCAGGAGAAAAGAGGACAGGCCGGTCAATCAACCTGAGTATTGATTTCGTCCCTTGGGTGTTGAACTTCTAGGAAATCATTTTCCATTTGCTTTTCAGGATCGTCAAATACAGTGAGCAGTTTCTGTCCAATGACGCCATCATGTCAGGCTGCCTCCCCAGCAATCCTTGGATAACAGATGACACCCAGTTCTGGGACTTAAATGCCAAATTGTATGTATCAGATATATTGGTGTTTTTTTAAAAATGGCGTTTTGAGTTATAATTCACGTGCCGTACAACTCACCCAGTTAAAGTGTGCAATTCTGTGGTTTCTACTATATTCCTGGGGTTGTGCAACCATTACCACAGTTAATTTTAAAAACATTTCACCTAAATAAGAACCCCTCCCCCACCCCAAACCCCTCCAGTCCTAGGCAACCCCCAAACTACTTCCTGTCTCTGTGCCTTTGCCAACCTTGGACATTTTGTATAAATGGATTCATATACTGTGTGGCCTTTGTGATTAGCTTTTTTCCACCGAGCATAATGCTCTCGGGGCTCATCTGTGTGGGGCACTGGTTTAGTACTCCATCCTTATTTGTATTTATGGCTGAGTGATAGTCACTGTAAGGAGATAGGCTTTTTTTTTTTAATCCATTCATCAGTTGATGGACATGCGGGTTGTCTGTCTTTTAGCTGTCGTGAATAATGCTGCTGCGAACATTTGTGTCCAGGTTTCTGTGTGGACATATGTGTCCATTTCTCTTGGGGGTGTACCTGATAGTGGAAAATCTGGGTTGGATGGTAACTTTACAATAACAATATATTGGTTCTGAAAAGAAAAACAATCATGTTTATGGCTTTACTTTTTTTTTTTTTTAAAGATTGTTTATTTATTTATTTGACAGAGAGGGAACACAAGCAGGGGGAGTGGGAGAGGGAGAAGCAGGCTTCCCGATGAGCAGGGAGCCTGATGCAGGGCTCCATCCCAGGACCCTGGGATCGTGACTTGAGCCGAAGGCAGACGCTTCACTGACTGACCCACCTATGGCTTTGCATTTTTTATCTCTAACTAGAGAAAAAATAAGTGCCTGGAGGGCAGGGCTCCACGCCTGCCTTGTTGACTGTACCACTCATTCCTTTGCTCTGTTTGTGAATTCTAAACCGTTATGGCTCCTGACAAAGGCAGAAATGCAGAAGGGTAGAGCGTAAGCCAGTGAAGGAAGAAGAGAAGTACAGTCACATGTGAGGGAAAGATGGAGGAGGAGGGGAGGAAGGAAGGGGCCGGTAGAAGCGGAGAAGGCAGGTGGGGTGATGGGAAAGATCGAGAGCATCAGGTGCGTACCACAGTTCAGGTCACCACCAAGGTCATTGCCATGAAGGCATGAGGAACATGCAGGTAGCAAAGATCCAGCCAAGTCAAGAGGCCTACATTCCCCATAGCTTGGGGAAAACTTCCACCCATTCCTCTTGGCCTGCTGTGGGCCGCTGGTGGGTTAAGGAGGGCTCTCATCTAGAGTTTGGGGTCACCTCTCTACTAGTGTCCCCTACGGAGCCAAAGACTTGAGAACCACCTTCTAGAGAGGCTTCCCTCCCGCTCTGGGGGCTCTAGTTTTGAGGGTGGTTTTCTGGAGCCTACGCCAGCCTCCCAGCATATCAGGGCAGAGGAGTGACCCAAATCTTGTGCAGAATTTGGCTCTCCGTAGAGGAGAAGGCAGAGCCCCTTGGCTGGGAAAAATGTTCCGGGAGGGCTTGGGACGGAGATGTGGAGAGCTGCCCAGTTTTAAATGAAAGGGAGAATATGGTATTGAAGGGTGAGGCAGAGATTTGCTGGGGAGAAGAACGGGGGTGATGTTTTGGGTAGGAACCGTCTCTCAGAGGGTGCTACGGGGTGAAGCGAAGTAACCCCCTGAAAACAGGAAGCCTTGTTCTGAATGGCTGAGACCTTAAAGCTGTGTTAAAATCACCTGGGAGCCTTAAAAGCAAAAACCAAACAAATATCAATGTCCAGCCCTCACCCCCAGAGCCTCTTAACTGGCCCGGGCTGCCTTCTGGTCCACAGCAGTGGTTTTCCAAAGTTCCCATTGACCTTAATGAACAGCTGGGGTTCCTAACACCAGCTGGCCACAGCGGCGCCCAGGGTGGTCCCTGGATCAGTAGCGGCAGCATCCCGGGGAGCTTGCTAGAAATGCAAATCCCTGGGCCCCACCAACCCCTGTGAACCTGAAACTCAAGGGATAGCGCCTGGCAGTCTGTGCTTTTATGAATCTCCTAGGCGATTCTGACTCGTGCTGAAGCTTGCACACCACTGTTTGTCTTTGTTTGGTTGTTGGGTTCGCTTCTCGGGTGAACCTTGGTCTTCTCAGCAGGAACACGGGGATGACGACGGGCAGCTCACAGCGTTCTCACCTGGGGATGTGCATGTAGAGCGCAGGGCCTCCCAGGAGGTGGCCCTCTGTGAATGGTGGCTCTTAATGTTAGGGCAGCGTTGTTACTGTTTTCACACTACCGTCGGAGAAAGCACGAGCCTGCTTGGTTGATTTGGATGCTGTGAATGGCAGCCGGTCACGGTTCTAGCAGCTACCTCGGTGGGACGGGTGGTGTCGTAGACTTGGAAACCTTTGTCTCGAAGGCGCTGTGTTAGGCTCTGGAGGGTTTCCTAATGAATAGGAGAAAAGCCAAGGCTTCCTAATTTTCTGGAATGTTAGACCTCAGCCAGCTGTGCTCCAATGTCCTCACTGGGAACAGTGAGACCTTCCCAAACATGGAAGTGGTATGGGACTTGCATCTAGGCGGGGGCTCTGGGGGAGGGTGCATTGGTGACAGAAGGGTCTGCCTGGGGCTTGGGGCGTGAGGGCGGGTATGGGAAGAATCATCGACTCCTTCCAGCTGCCCCTGTGCTCTGTGGTGAAGGGGCGTGAGGTGGGGAGGCAGTAGCCACAGCACCCATCACCGGGGCCGTTCTGGAATCTTCTGGTCTGGTGTGGCAGCCTGACTGACCCGCTGCTGGCCAGTCTCCATGGGCCTCAGAGGGGGCATCTGTGTTCCTTTTTCCTGAAGAAGGGAGCAGGTGGGAGTGTGAGGCTGTCGCTGTGGGCATCCTTCCCTCTGGGTACCAGCTTCCCACATGAGCCCCAGGGGGCTCCTGTAAGGCTACATGTTCCTGGTTACTTGGATTGTGGTTTGTGCGGGGGTTGAGGGGAGAGGATCGGGCTGAGCCCTGGGTCATGGGACTGGTGAGCTTGCTGGGGGCCCTGCCTCACTCTGAGCGTCTGGTGCACTTACAAACCATCATCCTTACAGGGTGGAAATCCCAACCAAGATGCGAGTGGAAAGATGGGCTTTCAACTTCAGTGAGCTGATCCGAGACCCCAAGGGCCGGCAGAGCTTCCAGTACTTTCTTAAGAAAGAATTCAGTGGTGGGTCTTTTGATTTTTTAATACCGTTTTTTTACTTTTAGGAACATTCCTGTCATGTCTGGCGTAGGGTTTCGAGGATTTCTCAGTTGATGTTTTCCCAGCTCTGCTGCTGTGTGCCCTTCTTGGACGTGTCCTTTCCATCCGTTCCAAGAGGCCCCCCTGGCCGAGGGGCAGGGGATTGACTCTGCTGACGAAATCCACGCAGCGTGCCTCCCAAATGCAAGGGCTCCATCCCCTCTTGCTGTTCCCACCTCCTCGCGCTGATTCTGGGGGTCACCGGTCCAAGAGTGCCCACATCCCCTGCCGCTAAGCGCAGCTCGTGGGGGGACCCTGGCCAGAAGGAAAGTGGAAAAGTGAGCTTTCCCTTTTTGTCTGGCGGCCTGGTTTCCTTCAGCCCCCTGCTTCTCTGCCCAGGCTGTGCGTTGGATTCACCTGGGGGAATTTTAAAAACTTACCTGCCAGATCCCTTCTCCAGATGCTCCTTTTACATTGGTTTGGGTTGGGATACCCGCAGGTGTGAGAACTCCCCAGGTGATTCTCCCACGTGGCTGTGATTGAGAACCACAGTCTCAGCCCCCGCTCTGCTGCCCATGTACAGGGGCCCGTCTCGGGCGTGGGGGGATGGGCGGGGCCCCGTTTTATACTCCGTCTCGGGGTGTCTCAGCATGGTAGGGAGGCACCTGTAGCCTCTTAAATACACTACCTGAGAACCACCTGGGAACATCAGGACCCTTTGCTGGAAGGTGTGTTTTTATGGGGTTCGTTCACTTGCTTACTGACTCCCAAGCCTGCTGGGTATCATCGTATTTAACCTCCGTTCTCAGCTGCTTGCTCCCAAGACCCATTTGTTTGTGGGGCTGCGCCTGGAACTAATCCCAGGGGACGCGCCATTAGCCTGTTGGACTGCCTGATGCAGCGCATCACATCATAATACGGATTCCTGACAATCCTTCTCTTTAATCAAGCCTAGTTGCCATGATAGGATAAAACCCAGAATAGACGGTGGGAAAGGCAAACGCTTTTAGCTGGAGCCCCTGGGCCCCGGAAGCAACTCCAGAGGAAGGGGATAGGGTGCCATCTAGCGGCAAAATGACAAAGTGCACCCTGGGCTTATTTCGGCCCCCCACACTCAACCCTGTACTTGGTTAACAGTGAGAATCCTTTGAAAAGAAATCCCTGTGTTATTAAAATACTATTTCTGGTGATCTCTGTGAGAGATTCCCGAGGCCTCAGGGGTAAGCAGGGAAGATGAATCATGAGTTTTCTCATTTAAATGACATTAAAAAAACACTGAGATCTACTTCTCATACCATAAACACATGTACCATGTAATTCACATGCCGTAATCCTTTCAAAGGTTACAGTTCCCGGGGTTTTTCGTATATTCACAAAGCTGCACAACCGTCATCACTATATAATTGCAGAACATTTTTACCACCTCACAAAGAAACCCCTTACCCATTAAAAGTCATTCCCTCTTCCACACTCTTCCTCTGCCTGCCCCTCCTCCTGCTTCCCCCTCTCCAACCTGGGTGACCACTAATAATTTATTGTCTGTCTTCATGGATATGCCCGTTCTGGACATTTCATATACATGGAATCATGCAATGTGTGGCTTTTTGCCTTCTTTCACACAACATAGTGTTTCCAGGGTTCATCCTGCTTAAGAGTATTTCCTTCCTTTTTATGACCAAATAATATCCTGTTGTACGGGTAGACCATGTTTCGTTGATCCATTCATCCTTCGGTGGCTGTCTGGGTTTAGACTTTTCAGCTATTGTGACTAACACTGCTTTGCACATTCATGCACACCTTTTCGTGTGCTCGTTTACTTTTTTATGGCAATAAATAATTCATCACATAAAATTTATCATTTTAACCATTTTTAAATGTATGGTTCGGTGGCGGTCGGTACACTGACGTTGTTGTGCTCCGATCACCGCCGTCCATCTCCAGAACTTTTTCTCTTCCCTGAAGGAAACTCTGTCCCCATGAAGCACTAACTCCTCCCATTCCCTCTCCCCCCTCCCCCACCAGCTCCCAGCGACCACCATTCTCCTTTCTGTCTCCATGAATTTCTCTATGTTTGATACCTTGTAGAAGGGGGATCATATCATATATCACGTATCTTTTTGTCCTTTTGGACTGGCTTATTTCACTTAGCGTAATGCCTTCGAGGTTCATCTATATTGTAGCCTGCATTTGATTTTTTATTCCTGTTTAAGGCCGAATCGTATGGCCCTGTGTGTCTATGCCGCGTTCATCCGTTCATCGGCTGATGGACATTTTTGCTTCCACCTTTGGCTGCTGTGAATAACTGCTCATTTCATTTTAACCTTAAGCAACGGCTTGTCTTTTGCCTGGATAAGGTGGTCTGCGTGGCGCTCGATCTGAGATTGATCGGGTGTCGTCTGAAGGCATCGCTGGCTTGTCTCCTCATGCCCGTGACCTCAGGCCTAAGAGCACCCTGAAGCTCATGTTGAAGAGGCAGGACCTCTGTAGAGTTGTGGGACAGACGTCCACTAGTTGAGAATTGTGCTGCTTTTTCCATTCTGACGCACCTGGCAAATGCTATGAAAAGGGGGGGTTAACCCCACAGCATGCCACGATTTACATGCAGGCACACGCATATGCACGTACAACATGCACACGCACACAGTACATAATTGCACACACACACACACACACACACACGCTCACACGCAGCCACTTGCTCTCCTACTGGTATGATTGTCTTGATTTTCTCAGGCAAAAACGACCGCCTGGGAGAATCGTACCCCAGTGCTCACACCCCCTGTGGGTGCCTGGAGAGCTTTAAGTTGAAAGGAAGGGAGGGCTCTGGAGGAGACTGGCTTGCCTCCTGGGCCCTGAGGATCTGAGTCTCTGTAGCTCAGGTGACCCTCTGTGAAGTCCTTCCCTGAGGTCCTCTCTCTGAGGACCTCCGGCTGGACTATGCCCTGTGGGGGGCTGTCGGGGGTGCTGGTCTGTGCCCATAAAGTGGGCAGCTGTCCTGTGCAGTCGCTGAACGTGGGCACAGTGAACAGTGGCCTTTATGAAGAAAGCCTCTCAGGACTTGTTCACGAGCTGGTCCCAGGCTCACTTGTCCAAGCAGGCTTTGCTCCAGCCAAACTCCAAGGCAGGGAAGTCTGGGGCGGTCCAAGGGGGCTGCTGTGAGCTCCGACCCATGCGTCGCCCGGGAAAGGCCAGTGGGCACGGTCGCTGTGTACGGCTGCACACATGGTGCACTCCAGTCTGGTTCACTGCAGAGACCACGTGTGAGGCGGTTGCAGGTTAACAATGTTCTCCTGGGCCCTGGAAGCAAGACCTGACTCCTTCTCTTGAGGGCTGTGCTGTCCAGCCTCACAGCCTGCTCTGGTCTGTTTTGCAGACGGGAGAGGCTCCCTGGGCCGCGGGGACTGAATTGGCTTTCGTTGACCCAGCTCTCTTCTTCCCTCTCTCCTCTCCCGCCGTGTTTCCCGCCTGCCTTTCGTCTGCGTGACCCCTCCTCCCCACGCAGGGGAGAATCTGGGATTCTGGGAAGCCTGTGAAGATCTGAAGTACGGAGATCAGTCCAAGGTCAAGGAGAAAGCAGAGGAGATTTACAAGTGAGGACTCATCGGATGGTTGGGAGAGCCTCCCCGTGGGCCACCCCACTGTGCTGGAGGTTGAGAGGGAATAGGGGGACCAATCCACCTGCCATGCTGTCCGTAGATACCTCCCCACTAAGGCTTGGGGCTCCTTGGAAGAAAGTCTGGGAGATGCGTGAGGTCACTGCCCTCTCCAAGGGGACTATGCTCGGGAGTTCAAGCCGGCTGCCCCGAGTTACCGTGTGATGCTTTTTGACTCACCCCCCTTCCATGTCCCGAGAGGGGTGTGCGTGCATGCATGTTTGAGAGCGAGGAGAGGGACAACAGGTGGCGTAGGACACCCCCCACCCCTGTCCCCAGCCATCTAGGGAAGTGAAGACCATAACGGGAGGGAGCCTCCCCAAGTCTCTGCACCCAGTGCACCCGCTTGGGGTACAAATGTGGGGTCCTCTCTTATGTTGCATGGAATGGCTGTAGACCCCACAGCTCCGTGTAGCAGTGAGTCTGTTCTGCTCCAGGCCTGCATCTCCCCAAAATTGCCCTCCATGTTACCCAAGAACCTGAGGCTTCAGTTCAGAAGGCCCCGCCTGCTTCTTATGGCCCGGTGGGGAGGAAGAAGAGAGGGGAGGAGACCCCCCCACACTGCCAGGTGCCCGGCTGTTGAGATGCGTGCCCTCCCTCCTCCTGAGCTGAGCCGGGTGGACCTTGTCCTGCTGTGGGGACCTCCCTGCCAGCCCTTCGCTCTGCACCGGTCTGAGTGGACACCAGCCTTGGGCCCTGAGGGCGCAGCACCTTCGGTTCACACCCACACATGTAACTGTGGTTCTCTAAGCCTGAGCGCTGAGCTGGGCCAGGCGGGGCCCTCGGCAGCCCCCAGACCGTGGCATCGAGGTCTGGGCAGCAGGCCAGAGGGCCCTTCCCCTCCGAGCACCTGCCCCTTTGGACCTCTGGTGTCTGTCTGTCCTTCCGACCAACTCAGAAGGGACCACTACACCTTCCGGGAAGGCGCCGGTAACACTGAAGGGAAGAGCTGAGGTTTCGCATCTCATACTTGGAGGCTCTTGGCCTTTCTTAGGAATGTCCCCACCTCCGCCCCCAGGGACAAGTGGGGGTACCGGTGGGACTGTCCTTCCAGGAAGGTCCTGTGACAGCCACGCTCACAACAGTGGTTCCTGACGGCCTCGCCCACCACGACACACACACACACACACACACACACACACACACACACACACACACGGCTCCTAACTCCAGAAGTCCGCTAGAAAAATCCTTGCAGCCTCCTCCTTTCTATCAGGTTCTCCCCAGGCTTCCCCATGATGTCGTCGTCATCTGAATTCCAAAATTTTAATGTGCAGCTTCAGAGAGTGGGAAAGCATTCCCGCATTTCTAACCCTGAACAAGTCAGAATGGGAAACGTTGGAGAGCCGTGCAGCTGAGTTTGGGTTCTCATTGGGGCCATTGGCAAGGGCACCCCGGCCACCCACCTTCTGGGTGCTGGGACTGTGCGCTGCCTCCTAACTCAGCCTGTGAGGTTCGGCTCTAAATACCTCTAGAGCGCCTGGCTGGCTCAGTGGAGCATGCCGCTCTTGGTCTGGGGTCAGTGAGTTCCAGCCCCACGTTGGGTGCAGAGATTACTTAAAAAAAAAAAAAAAATCTGAATACATTTAGGCTGAACCAAGGGAGAACAGCGGGCCTGGAACACCTGCTTGGAATGGCCTGGTTCCCCGTGGGCCCCAAATCCTCGTCAACAAGACAAAAGGCGTTAAGTTGGAAACTGGGTTCTTTGTTCTAATGGCTGGCGTTGGGCTGCCTTCATTGCCAGTGACCAGCTTCCTCCAGGGGACCTGAGTCACGGCCCTCCCTCCCGCCCAGGCAGCCGTGAACTTTTCACTCGCTGACTTGGTTGAGCTTCCAACTAACATCTTCCTCCCTGCTCCAGGCTCTTCTTGGCTCCAGGGGCGAGACGGTGGATAAACATAGATGGCAAAACCATGGACATCACCGTCAAGGGGCTGAGACACCCTCACCGCTATGTGTTAGATGCGGCGCAGACTCACATTTACATGCTCATGAAGAAGGTAGGTGGGCTCTGTGCGGACGGTCATGGAGGGCCAGGCGGCCCCTCCCTTCTCGGGCACCTGGAAAGTCTTTGGAGACGGGAACAGGGGGAGATACTGTGTGGCTTCTGCTTGGCCGGTGTTGGGGTGCAGGATGGTCAGTGGCCTTCTTCCCCTCATTCATTGGTCCGGAACCTTGCTGGGCTTCCAGTCTTGGCATCTGGGGGATGGGGGGGTACCACAGGCAGATGCTGTATGTGTCCTTATGGGCTGTCACTCTGTGACAGTGGTCCGGGCACCCATGCCATGGGTGGTGAGGACATTGCTGGAATAGGTCTTATTTACCGAGGACTTGGGAGCAGCAGTCATGGTGCAAAGCATGGGGCTTTGTATCGGGGGCCACCCACGAGGCAAAATTTGCTTCTCCAGAGTCTAGTTTGTCCAGGGTCTCCTTGGAGGTGGAGTTGGGAGTCAAACTGTGTCCGCCTGCCTCCCAAGGCTGACCTTAGTCTCTACCAGGGGATAGTGGCTGTTCTGATGGCTCCGGCCCGAAGCACATATCATGGGTTGGGGTTGGGGTGACATTTAATATGGGAAAGAGACAAATTTGGTGTGAGGATGGTAAAACCCAGTGGGAATTCAGGTAGCTTTTCTGGGTTATTAATAAAAGCGAACATGGTGGGAAGTTTTAGGAAACTATTTAAAAAAGGGGGGGTAAATTTGAGACAAGAGTCAGTCATTTTCTTTCTTAAGAAATTAGAATTTGGGGGGCGCCTGGGTGGCTCAGTGGGTTAAGCCGCTGCCTTCGGCTCAGGTCATGATCTCAGAGTCCTGGGATCGAGCGCCGCATCGGGCTCTCTGCTCTCTAGGGGAGCCTGCTTCCTCCTCTCTCTCTCTGCCTGCCTCTCTGCCTGCTTGTGATCTCTCCATCAAATAAATAAATAAAATCTTAAAAAAAAAAAAAGAAATTAGAATTTGGGGTTCAGCATTGGCCTAAGAGAGGTTGTCCAGTTGGGTTCTTTTTTTTTAAATTTTATTTAAATTTTTTAAATATTTTATTTATTTGACAGAGATCACAAGTAGGCAGAGAGGCAGGCAGAGAGAGAGGGGGAAGCAGGCTCCCTGCGGAGCAGAGAGCCCGATATGGGGCTTGATCCTGGGACCCTGGGATCATGACCTGAACCAAAGGCAGAGGCTTTAACCCACTGAGCCACCCAGGCACCCCTCCAGTTGGGTTCTTAATTGGTGTCATAATAAGACTTTGTTCAGGGGCCCCTGGGTGGCTCAGTAGGTTGGGCAGCCAACTCTTGATTTTGGCTCAGGTCATGACCTCAGGGTCGTGGGATCAAGCCCTGCTCTGTGCTCAGGGGAGTCTGTTCCAGATTCTCTCTCTCCCTCTCCTTCTGGCCCTCCCCGCCGCTTCCCTCCCCCCTCTCTAACTCCCTGTCAAATAAATAAATACATCTTAAAATAAATAAGACTTGCTACAGTTGCTTTAACTTCACAACTATAGTTACTCCTCTTATGATAGAGTATCTCTAGAAATTTTCATTATATGATGACTGAGTGGCAAATTTTTATTAGCATCCCTTAATTATATTTTATTTAGTCTTTGATGTATATTTTGTTATAAAGAAACACTTTTACTTTGCTTCTAAGATATGTAATAGTTCAGAATTTTCACCAAGCCACATTGCCTTCTCCACTTGATTTCCATTAGTGGGGTTTCTCTGTTTGCCTTGTGAGTGGATTCACAAGAAGGTACCCTTACTAATGGTCTTCCTTTGGGTTATTTTCACATACATTTTGATTCTTAAAAATGTGGTTTTATACAGCCTCTCACAGAGACACGCAGGGAAGCCAGAAACTAGGCAGAACGAAATGGAGTCGTGGGTGACTTGAGATCAGTGTATACGCTTAGCGGACCGTGTGTCGTTAGAGGCTGTGTCTTACGTCAATAAACTCAGTGTGACCCGATGATCCATAACGCCCACTCCCAGACTGTCGTGGTTCTCGTCACTTTTAGCCACCACTCAGTCTTTAGAATGGGACCCTTTTGATAAACTTAAAAAACTTTCAGTCCCTGGGTTGTTGCTGTGGACGTTGTTGCCTATTTGTTAGAATGAGAGTTTTGAGTTGACTTGGAGGTGACAAGCATTCATGAAGCCACTTCTCGGAGCCTGCCCAGCGTTCAAGGAAAGAGCCACACAAGAGAAACCTGACTCTTGGTGTTTTTTTTTTTGTTGTTGTTGTTTTTGTTTTTTTAAATTCTCTTGCTTTCATACCCCAATTCAGGGCAGAAAAGGATGTTTGTTGGCTTTGAGGTGGGTTCCAAGCTCATGGCAGCTCATTTTTTTGGGGGGAAGGAGGTACTGGAGGGGAGTGGTGGGATACAGATGTCCTGCCATCTCATGCTAGCCTCATGGAAGACCCTCCCCCACAAAGGTTGATTTTCATGAGGGGGATTAGAGACCACAGAGCAGCTGAAGTACAAAAGAATCCACAGAAGGCTTGTGAAGACTCCGATGGTCCCATCCCAGGAATTCCTGATTTCGGAGGACCGGGTAGGCCTGAAGACGTGTGCTTCTGGCAATTTGCCAGTGAACTTGACGCTGCTGGTCTGGGGACCGCACTGGAGAACCACTGCTTTAGACCCACATCTGAATGCCTTTCACACAAGGACGCAGATTCCCTGAACTTTGCCATCTCGGTGCCCAGGGAGGACTTGAAAACAGCAAGCTTGGTCCGTTGATTTGACACGTCTCCTCTCTTAATCACCGTTTCTCTCTTTTCCCCCCTAGGATTCTTACGCCCGCTATTTAAAATCTCCAATCTATAAGGAAATGCTGGCCAAAGCTATTGAACCGCAGGGAACCACCAAGAGAAGGCAAGTGGAGACGCTGTGGGCAATATGCCGGTTGCCTGCTGTTTTGTTGACAGGAAGGGAGGGTCTTCTTTTCAGCCAAATGGCCATGATGGAGATAATTTGCTTGATGAAAATACCAGGGACCAGGAAGGATTTCTTAGGGGTAGGATGGCCTTGTTGGCTTCAAGGTAGCCTAGCAAGATTTCCATAGTAATTCCCGCCCGTAAAGTTGTGTGTCCCTGACGTGGGTTGGAAAAAGTGAAGATTATCGCACTGATCATTACCCCAGTGCAAAGGGAAGCATCTCGTTGGTTTGTTAATTACTACAGTTCTCCACCTTGGAACTGATTTGTGGGAAGTAGCTTAGCCACATCCTTGTATCCTTGGGAAGTCCTAAGACCTTAGCATAGCAGACTCCACCCGCAAGGAAAAAATGTCAAGGCTCCTGGGGAAGATGAGCACTGACATTGCAAGCATCCTTGTTGACCCCAGCGAACGCCTTTTGGCAAGGCCCCCCGCTAACTGGTTTGTGCTCACCTTCCTCATTGGAGATGTGGATCGTCTCATCTGGCCGAACCTGTGGGCAAAGGAGGACATGTTCTGAGGGCCAGTTGGAACTCTTTTCTGGGGGGAAAAAAGAAAACTCTGTGGGGACTGAGGATTCCAAAGAGGAACCAGATGACAGCTTGAACAAAGACATGGGACTTTGGGGGAGGTTTTCCCGGCGCCAGCGCGTGGCCTATCCCCCCGTGGTTAGTAAACGTTCCCGTTTGCCGGCTCAGCCCACGCTGGGCTCTTTTCCAGTGTCGCCGGTCAATTCAAAAGAGGGGAGGATGGACCGGAGCCTTTATTAAAGGAGCTTTAAAAAACAAAACAAAACAAAAAAAACAACTTGGTTTCATTCTTGAGGATAATGGCCCTGTTATAAAAAGGAGAGAAAGGAGGTCTCTGTGGTGCCATTCTTCTAGGTTTACCGGGGAAGTGGGGGGGAGTTTAGCATCCCTGGGGGCTTGAAAGGGTCTCCTTTAAGCCACAAGAAAGGGGGGTAATCGCTCTAGAAGTTCTGCCAGAAAGTAGAGGGAAAAGAAGGAGAGTCTCGTATTTCTCTCTCCAGATATTTTACCAGTTGGGGCAGACCCGAAGAATCAGCTGGGCTCTTTTCTGGAGTGCCATGGGTGCCTGGGGTGCTGGGGATGGCGGGAGGCCCCAGCCGCACCTCATGGCTTTGGGGTGGGGAACTGTGGTCTGAGAATGTCCCTGTGAGTGAGAAGACACGGGCAGATGTTCTCGTACCGAGGGGAGCTCAGCCCGTAAATGTGGGGATTGCGGTGGGTGCCTTTGTCCCAAGGCCTGAGGGTGTCAGGCAATATACAAACCTTAATTTCTCTAGAAGAAGTTAAATCAAGCTCCAGGCTCCCCCTTGGCAGGGCTGGTGGGAGACCCAGGTTCAGTCCTGATTTACTAGTAGGGGATTCCTTGTGTTCTTCCCTAGGGTAGATCCAAGAATTCTCTGGGCCTTGGTGATCCGGAGCTTTGGGAACGTCCTAGGTTTTAAATCCACCGTTGCTGCTGAAAGGCCTATTTTGGGGGCATGTGGGTGGCTCAGCTGCTCCCCATTTCCTGCCTCACTCAGACACCTGGAGCTTTGTCCTGTGCCCAAGGCTGTGGGGGACAGGGTTGGATCCCAAGAACCCATGGGTGACTTCGGTCAAGGTTCTGACTCACCCCATGTTTGCACCCAGCACCGCCAGCCCCCCTCCCCAAGCCCTCTCCAGGCCTCTCCCCTTTCTCTGTGGGCCCCGCCTCGTCCTCTTGCACAGTCCAGCACTCTCCCTCCTTCCCAGATCTTTGGCTTTTGAAAACAAATGCTCCAGCTCCCCCTGAGGCCAGAACCCTTGGGCTTCCAATGTCAAACTCCCCTTGCCCCCTTCGTTTAGGAAGAGCCCATGGGAGGTTAAGCTAGCACATTGATTTCCAAACATTCTAGAAGGTATATTATCGGCACCATAGGCAGTCCTCCTTCGGCCCAGCCAGAAACCCGATGGCAGCTGGTACTCACCGGCTCCTCCTCCCAAGGGGGAGAAAGAGCTAAGGTTGAACATGCCCCTGAGGTCCCCCCACCTTGGGGCTCACCGGGAAAATGGGGGAACAAGCCCAGATTCTGGTCCTGCAGCTCCGTCTCCCACTAGGGGCGGCCGCGTCCCTGCTGAGCCAGCTGGGTGGCTTTCCCCCAACCGCAGCCCCGTCCTGCCTTCCAGCTCCGGCCTCCCTTTCATGCGACGCCACCTGCGCTCCAGCCCGAGCCCCGTGATCCTGAGGCAGCTGGAAGAAGAAGCCAAGGCTCGAGAAGCAGCCAACACAGTGGACATCACCCAGGTCATGAGCAAGCTGGACCGTAGGAGCCAACTCAAAAAAGAGCCGCCTCCGAAATAATTCTGCGGCTGCTGGGGGCGGGGGTGGGGGGCACTGCACCCACGGGAGGCAAGCAAAGAGGGCCGGGGCCAGTCAGAGTCTAGAGGATGCCATTCCATGCTAGTGGGGCACTGGAATGGCCAGGGTCACCCCAGAGTCCACTGAACTCCTTCCCGGGGGGCCTTCCCTGTACCGCGGCGACTAGAGCTCGTCCTCCCGCTCCAGCTCACCAAGGGACAGGGTTGGCAGGGGTGTGGGGAGGTCGTCTGACTCAGTTGCTGTGTGACTGCCTGTCTCTCTGGGGGGCTTCTTGTAGCAGGAGCATAGAGAAAACAGGCTGCTCTGTGTCCCACATTTGCTTTGGAGAATGAACGAGAAGGTCCCCCTCCTCCCTCCAGGCATCTTTCTTTCAGGTACATCCGTTTCAAACAGCTTCATGAAGCTCCTTACCCCACTTCACCAGTCGAGACTCTGCTTCTGAAGCAGTCTGAGATCCCTCCAAGGCACTAGCTGCAGGGTCCCCTAGAGAGGCACATCCCCTGGACATGTTGCATCTTTGCAGAGAGGCCCTGCTGAGACAGGGCTGGCGAGCTTGTTCTCGGAAACAGTTACGGAGGGTCCTTCCCTTTTGTCTCCCCACACCCCGATACCTCCTAGGGGAATACGTAGCTGGTAGGGATGAAGGATCAGGGCCAGAAGCCCCCAGAGCAGTCAAGGGAAAATGGCCTTCTGTTGAGCATTGTTTGGATAAAGGAAAGATGCTGGTGTCTTCATTCGTGGGAAGAGAGAAAGTAGCTACATATGTGGACATTTTCAAGATGAGTTAGGGTCAAAGAGGATACTCCCTCAGATCTTTTTCTAGATGTTGGTGCTTCCCTCCTGTGTAACTGTAGCCTGGGTCAGCCCTGTGGTCAGGGTGGCGGGGGAGGGCAGTTCTAGCTCCGACCTTGGGAGTAGTACAAGGTAATCCTTGGACTCAGCCTTACCTCATACACCTGTGTAGGAACTCGAAGGAGTTAGAACAAGTCAGCCAGAAAGGCACAAACACTGCCCAGCCACAAGACTCACCCATTTGACACTTTTTCCGATTAGCCACTATGTACCAGGGACTGGTGAGGACAATGGACATCACCCAGGTCATGAGCTAGGTCATCACCCGACTCACGGAGCTCACAGACTAGGACTGACAAACCACAGTGAAGCCGACCGTATCAGTACCTTTGCTGACAGCTGCAGAGCTGGGGCGCCATGTGATAATCAGTGTTCACTGCTCATGGGTTTAGGGTCATCTGTGTGGCTCTGCTGATCTTGGAGCTCACTCCCCTGCCTGGGGGCTTGGTCTGTGGGAGCCTGAGCTGGGATGAGTGGAATGATTCTCCTCCGCTTCTCATGTCTCCTGTCCTCCAGCAGCCTGGCCTCGGCACAGCCTGTGGAGATGGCGGAATTGTAAGGGAGTGAGTGGAAATGCCAGAGTCTTGAGGTGTAGACTTGGAACCGGTGTGTGGTCTTCTACCTCACGTTCTTGGCCAGATCCAGTTACAAAGCCAGGCTAGAATCAAGGGCTGAGGAAAAAGACTCTATCTCTTTAGTGAGAGAAATTTTAAAGTCTTATCGCAAAAGACGTGGAGAGAGGAAGGGATGAAGAATCGGAGCCATCGTTGCAGTCGACAGCCCCAAGATGTGGTAAGATCTGTACCAGGTGTTAGAAAGGAAGTGGAAATGGCGCCATGACAGAGAAGAGGAAGGAGATGCGTCTACTGGGAGGCCTCTCCGAGGCAGTGACAGAAAAGAGGATGCGGAAAGGTGGGCCGTACAAAGCATGTGGGGAGGCAGGGAGAGCTTTCCAGACAGAGGGGACCACAGCTGTAGGAAAGGCCCGTTGAGGGGAAGCAGCTTCGAATGACGGCAGCGCCAGGCGAATGGAGCCTTGTGGGTGCGGGAGAAATTGTTCAGCTTGAGCTTAGAGAGGTGGGCAAGGCCAGGTCATCAGGGACTTTTTAGATCATTGTAAGGAGTTTGTGGCTCTTGGTTTTGTGTTGGCAAAATGATCCCATGACTCCCTCCGTTTTCTGTAGTTGTAGTCTAGCTTATACTCTGGAAGGGCCACCAGAGGTATGTTTTGTTCATCTCTCTTTTGAAAAGTGTTGGAGTCCTCCAACTCAGGGAGAGTACCCCAAGCAGAAATTGCTGGTAATGGCCATTGTATATTGAGTGACATGAGGTGGGGCCATGTCTTATCACTTGGAGCCTAATGCTTGAGGCCTGGTGGGTTCTGCAGAAGCATGTCTCACATGAATGAGTGGAGGGAGGGAGGAAGGAAGGAAGGAAGTAGGAAGGAAAGAATGGAGGGAAGGTGGTAGGAAGGAAGGAAAAGGAAGGAAGGAAGGAGACGGCCTCTTGGTCTCTGGTTCTAGCACTAGCCGTGTGGCCTTGAACAAGTCGCTTACTGTCTCTGCTTCCTGATTAGTGAAATGAGGGCTTGGGACCAGATGCTTGTCTCTTGAAACAGACTTTGTGAGTTCCAGGAACATACCCAGCCTGGGGCCTCCATTTTACATGAAGATTTGGAATGGGATGAAACAAGTAATTTTCCATTTTTTGCATTAAAATAATCATGAATAGATTATGAACTAGAATGCAACATGGACATGAATTTTTTAAGATAAAAATTGAGGCATCAAAGACATTTCATGCTTGGCTGTGGCAGGTTCAGGCTTTGCCCTCAGACTCTTGGGAGAGAACGTTTACCTGGCTCTCCTGCTGTTTGTCCTACTTTCCCAGGGAAGCTTGAGAAGCATGAAACAAGGAATATGTACTCACTACCCCTTCCGGTTACCCCCTCATGAGCCAAGATCACATGCCTAATACAACGGTGATGAGGATGGCGGGGTGTCAAGTGCATCGTGAATTCTTCCCGTTACCAACTGGGTTGTGTTCATCTTTGACTCAACCATCCACCCGCCCACTCCCTGCACAGAACATGTCTGCCTGACAGCCGACTACCTGGGGCTCTGTATCAGGCACCTGGGTGGGACACCACACATATCAGTGGAAACTTTCTCGATGTCTGACACACAAGGATCCCACCATCTGATGAGAGGCACAGACAGGCACGGAGCTAAAGTTGGTTATCATGCTTATGGGATAAATGCATGAATGAGCACTGCGACACTCCCCATCTGAAGGAAGGCAGGAGATAAAGGGCTTCACTCCTGGAGAGCAACAGCTCCATCCCACGAGGGTTTTTTAAACACCCGTTCTAGGTAAGGACCAGTGAAGGGTGTTATGGCAAATACAAAAATGTAGGCAAGGTTCTCCGCCCTTGAGGGGCTGACAAGAGTGTGTGGACGCAAATGGCTGCCATGTGAAATAGAAGGGGGACCAAGGCTGGGGTGGTGTACAACACCCCAGGGGCACGCAGAGGTAGGAGAGGGTCGTCTGGCCTGGAGGACTAAAAGGGACTCCACTGGGAAGTTCTCATGTTTGCTAGTCAAGGAGCCCCAGGTTCTGACCCAGTTTTAGGGCTTCCTAAGAGGGTCTGCTGTTGGGTCCCAACAGGTGGCAGCTGTCCCTGCTGGCCTTGTTTCTGTGAGACAGATGTAACATAGCCCCATGAAGTCTGTTTGAATCTAGATAGCTTTGAAAGTAGTACTTGTTTGGACACTATTACTGATGTACTTAAGTGATTATGATGGTCTCTGTTATCTGTGTACTTAGGTGTCATCTTAATTCCTTAATGGTGTATTTTAAATAGCTTGAGTTTCTCTACCCATGGCGGTGTATATCTATGCTAGACTATAAACTATGGGGTAAAGTACCAGGATTTCCTTTGTAGAACTTCATGCTCAAGCTTACTTTTTAGAGCAAGGACTGTTCTTGTGAAGCTTGGGGTAATATAAGGGTTAGGGACAATAGGTAGATACATCGGATAATGGCTGGCATATAGTAAGTGCTCAATAAATGCTGGCTGCTGTTACCAGTGTCACAGTATCACTGTCACTGTCATCCTCATCCTCACTGTCCTCCTCTTCACAACACTGTCATCACCATCTCTGTCATCACCACCGTTACCACCACTGTAAGCATCATCACAGCACCTCTGCCCCCATCATCGCCACCATTGTCACCATCACCATCACCACCACCGTCACCACCGTCACCACCATCACCACCGTCACCATCATCACCACCATCACCACCATCATCAGTCACCACCATCATCATCATTACCACCATCACCACTATCACCACCATCACTGCCACCATCACCACCACCATAACCATCATCATCAACACCATCACCATTGTCACCATCACCATCACCACCACCGTCACCACCGTCACCGCCATCACCATCATCACCACCATCACCACCATCATCGTCACCATCATCATCATTACCACCATCACCACTATCACCATCATCACTGCCACCATCACCACCACCATAACCATCATCATCAACACCATCACCATTGTCACCATCACCATCACCACCACCGTCACCACCGTCACCACCATCACCACCGTCACCATCATCACCACCATCACCACCATCATCGTCACCACCATCATCATCATTACCACCATCACCACTATCACCACCATCACTGCCACCATCAATACCACCATCACCATCATCATCATCATCACTGCCACCATCACCACCATCACCATTACCATCACCACAATCATCACCACCATCACCATCACCACTGTCACCATCACCACCATCTAGTAGCATCTGGTCTCAGGGTAAGCTTGGGCTTTCTCACATCTGTCAGTGCAATATCATACAGTGATTCATTATTCTTTATTATTTAGGGCATTTCCTGAGGTGTGTTTACAGCTTTGTTTCCCTGAACCTTCATGCTTCTCTACTCTCTCAGAGTCTTGCAGTGTGGCCCTCCCTGCTTTCCAGCGGCCATTAGGATATATTTGAAGGGAGGAGAGTGGGCACTGATGTCATCTCCTCTGTCTACGAAGGGCTGACTAGCAACAGTGCAGTGACTTGTCCGTCTTTTGGTCCCAGTCTTCACCACTACGGTAAGGGGACGGTCTTGGGCTGGACTGTGCCAGATGAAATGGTAGGTAGGAGGAATAATGTGTTCACCCTTGTGGATTTTTCTCCATGGAGCCCACTTTGCTTATTGGCTTTTGGAGGCAGTGGGGGAAGGGAGAGCAAGGAGGGACTGGAGGGGGCGCCATGTACACTGCATGTTGAACCTGAGTGTGGCTCACAGGACGTGGGCCTCCAGGTGGCTCTGAGGTCTCCTGCAAATTCTCAGCCGGTTTCTAGGCAGAAAACGAATTTCATCTATTTGCACCGCCTGCTTTGCCTTCCATTGAAAAGCCTGTGATTGTGTTCTCGTGTCAACGTACCCACTCCATTTCATGCTCCTCTCCCCCTTCTCTTGGCTCCCTGCATAATAAAACAGCAGCACAAGATGAAACAAAGCGAGCTCTCAGAGCTTCACTGTGTCTCTGCGTGTCACATTTCTTTGCTACGTGCCTCGCATGCTGCTGCTTCGCTACCTCGCGCCCGCAGTGGGTGTGGCATGGGCTGGAGGGGCGGGGCTAGGTCTCTGTGGGAGGGGCCAGAGTCCTGGGGGGATGGGCTAAAGAAGGGGTCCAGGGCCAGTGGGGCTATGGCCATCTGCCCAGAAGAAAGGACCTTCTTGGGCCAGGTAAGTCAAGCAGGACGTGGCTACATCCTCACCTGTCCTGTCATTCATCCTGGAAAAGAAAGTGCTGAGGGAGGTGTGGGCTGAGGAGGAGGGCACAGAATTGGGGTGGAAGAAGGCAAATGGAGTGGCCCATTCTGTCATAAGCTGTACGATCTTGGTCAAGTTGTCATCTCCACGAGCCTCAGTTTTCTCATCTGTAAAGTGGGGCTGATAATGAGTTCATCACAGATTCTGAGAAAGTGGGATTCAAGGTAATGTACGGGAGGTGGGATGTCCTCAGTTTTTTGAAGGAGGAGAGTTTGGTGCCACTCTATCTCTCTTGCCAAAGCCCGTTTCCCGCACTTTGGTGTTCCAGCCCACTCTGCAGGACCCCAGGTCCTATAGACAGAGCAGGGGCTCTGGGGTTACACACTCCTGGGGTCGAATTTTCATTTAGTTGCCCTGTTAATTGTCCATTGCTGTGTAACAAAGTCACACGGGCACCGCCGTTTATAGGCTCACAGTTGGCCAAGTGAGGCGGGCTGGGTCCTCTGCTCATGGTCTCACACCCACGATCACACCAGGCTCCCGTGTTCCTATCCGGGGGCTCTTGGGTAGAACCTGTTCCAAGTTCATTAAGATGGTTGGTGGGATTTCAGTGTCTCATTATAGGATTGAAGGACCCAGTTTTGGGGTAGGGTTTTTTTTGTTTTTGTTTTTGTTTTTGCTGACTGTTAGCTGACGGCTGTACTCAGCTCCTAGAAGCTGCCCCAACCCCTCTCCGGGTTTCCCTCTTCCACCTTCCAAGCCAATAATGGAGAACTTCTCCTTCACTGAATTCCTGTCGTGCTTCCAACCTCTCTGACATCTGTCTCTGGCCCCTAGACTCAGATCTGAAGTTCATGTAATGAAGTCAGCCTCACTCAGATGATCCTTTGTTGATGTCACCTGTCATAGCATGTGGCCTGGCCAGGGAGTGGGGCTGTCCTGTGACATTTACAACTCACACCCACCCTGGCAGACAGGGCCAGAATGTAGGGACCATGTAGCAGTCCACCTGCCACAGTCCCCAGTGGCTGTGGGAGCCTCAGGAGGGTGATGAACCCTTCTGGGCCTCAAACATCTCTTCTCTAAAATGGGGGAGTGACAGGTACATAGATTACCTAGCACATAGTAGATGCTTGATAAGTCATAGGGTCATACTCTTTTCCCCTAACTCTTGTCTCCTGAACCCTTCATTAGAGCAAGCTTTCCCCTTTGTTGTTAATTCTTTTTTTCACAAAATATTTTACTTATTTACTTACTTTAGAGAGAGAGCAGGCGAGAGAGCATGTGAGTAGGGGGAGGGCAGAGAGAGAGGGAGAAGCAGGCTTCCCACAGTGCAGAGAGCCCAATGTGGGACTCGATCCCAGGACCCTGAGATCACGACCTGAGCTGAAACCAGGAGTTGGACGTTCTTGTCTGCAGACTGTGTCCCAAGTAGAGACCCTTGTCCCCACAGAAGGACAGTGTTGGAAGCACAGTGCAGGGCTCCTCAAACCCACTGGGCATGATAACAAAAGCGTGACCTCGGGAGTCTGGTAGAAGATGCTTTCCCTCAGTGGCACCCACAGAGAGTCTCCTTTGGTGGATCTGGCTGGGGCTGGGATCTGCACTTGCAGCAGATCACCCGGGGTGATGCTGAGGTGGGCTGATAAGCAGGCCCCCCCTTGGGAGGTGCAACTCGCTGTGAACTACACCGTGAACTCCACAGCCCACAAGCCTGGTTTCCAAGCCCACCCCACAGTCCCCAGTGGCCTGTCCTTGGGGCTTGCTTTTCGAAGCATTAGTTTTCTTATCTGTAAAATGGGCATAACGTAATGAGAGTTGGGCACCTCACCAAGTGGCCCCGGAAGTAAGTGCAAATGATCCATGGAAAGGGCTCAGCCCAGAACCTCGTATTTGCCAGTTCTCACTGCATATGAACAATGCCGTTTACGATGACTCTGTCTGCCCAGGGACCCCAGGTCTGGGCCTTGGCTCTGGTTTGTTGCCTGTGGGTGTTGGAGCAGAGGAACGGAATCAGCGACCCCCAGCTGCTGTTTCAGGATGGAATGGAGCTGGGGCTTCAGGGAGCTGGTGGGGGAGAATGGAACCCCTGTGGGAAAGCCTTCTGTGGCCTCCTGGCCCTTCTTTTCCTCCAAAAGCTGTCCTTGGCTATGCCTGCCCTTTCCTCTTCAGGTGGGGATCTGCTCACTCAGATGACCTGGAAATCAGGCCACATCCTGAGGAAGCTAGCAGCCTCCAGCTCAGCTCCCAGAGCTGCCTCCTTGTGGCCCCAAGGCAGTGCCCCGGGCCCTCGGGCAGGCAGGCTTCTCTACGCTGGGCGTCTGGGCGGCCATGCCAGTTTCCAGGAGTGTTCGCTGTTCACTGAAGTCAGGGGCCATGTCGGCCCAACTGTCCCAGAGGGTCCCCTTTCCCCATCAGGACCGCACACCCTCTAGCTGGGCTTCAGTGTGGTGTGAGGCCACAGCCGGCTTTCAGGAGGGGGCCTGGCCAACTGGGCCGATGGGCCCTTGGAGGCCCATCTGTGGAGGGAAGAGAGGGGACAGCAGACAGCCTCCCTGAAAATCCCATTTTTAACTTTGTCAGCTCAAAGCTCCCTTGAGTGTCTTTGCAGGAAACCTGCCTGTCTGGCGCTCCTGCCCCCTTGCTCCTTCACTCCGGGGCCACGGGAGCCCAGGGAAGTTGAGAGTCTCCCCTTCTCTGACATGTCCAGGCTCCACATCGGCCTTTTTTTCTGGCCACCCTACAGTGTTGCGGGAGGCACGGGCTGTGCCGGGGCTGGGCCCTCCCCAAAGGACGGCCAGTGGGACATGGGCCGGGGCTCAGGACCAGGTGGGTGGTCTCAGGCCTGGCAGAATCAGCAGGGCACACGGGGGCCTTCTGGTCTCACCGTCAAGCTCTGTTGCCCATGTCTAGATGCCTCCAGTCCTCAGGCTGGGCACCAGGGTAGAGGCAGGATGGCCTGGCGTGTGCTGGGTACTAAATATCGTTCACTGGGGGACAGGAGTTGAGGGGCGATTGGAAATCCCAGCCTGGCCTACCCCAGCGCCCCAGGCATGGAGGAAGACCAGCATGGGATGTGACTGCCCAGCTCTAGGCCAGTGCTCGGGAAAGGGCAGGCCCCTTGGCAGAAGCCCTGTGTGGGGCTGTGCCAATGTCCCAGGTGGCTTTGGGCCCCCTTCCCAGCTCCCCAGTGAGCAGATACAGCAGACTGTGCTCAGGGCACCACAGGGCTAAGTTAGCTGAGAGCCCCGTCCATCAGCCAACACCACTCACTCTGAGCTCTCTCTCTCCTTCCCTGCAGCCGGGCCAGCACACTGCTCCCAGCCCTCACCTGGCCGTGTACACCGGGACCTGCGTGCCCCCCTCTCCTTCCAGTCCCTTCTCCCCGTCCTGCCGCTCCCCCAGGAGGCCCTTCCCCTCACCCAGCCGCTTCATCAGGAGGCCCAGCAGCGCCATCTGCCCCTCACCCATTAGGGTGGCCTTGGAGAGCTCTGAGCAGAAGGGGGAGGCCAGCGGATCCAGTGCCTGCCCGGGGCCCTCCGACACGGACATGAGTGAAGCCTGCGCCGCGGAGAACCCCTGGCCCCGGCCCCAGCCCAAGGCCCCACCCAAGGCCCGCGTGGCTCTGTCCTTCAGCAGGTTTCTGAGACGGGGCTGTCTAGCCTCCCCCGTCTTTGCCAGGCTCTCTCCCAAGTGCCCCCCTGTGTCCCACGGGAAGGTGCAGCCCCTGGGGGATGTGGGCCAGCAACTGCCACGGCTGAAATCCAGGAAAGTAGCGAAGTAAGGACCGGAAGGGATCGTGCTGCATGTGTGCGCGTGTGTGTGTGCACAAACGTCTCTATGTATGCATGTGTGCATGTCTGTGGGGGTGCACGCATGCACATTTGTGTGTGAGCACGCACATTTGCACATATCTGTATGTGTGCACGTTTCCACATCTGCCTGTGTGAGCACGTGTGTGTGCACATCTGTCGGTGGGCACGTGAGTGTGCATGTATGTCTGTGGTGGGTGCTGGGGCACTGTGGCTTGACCATGGTCTGGAACTGGGGGCTGGTGGGTTGAGTAATGAGGATGCTAGGCTAGCGGACATGAGAGCAGGCTGTTTGGCCTCCGGATAGTTTCCAGAAACTCAGTGATGTCTTCCCTGCTTCCTGGGAAAGAAAAGGAACAGGTGTCTTTCCTTTCCATCTTGTTCCCCCTTCTGGGCTGCCCACACCCTGCCCCACCACCTGAACGTTAATCAAATGAACCCATCGCACCTTTAAAGGGCAGGAAATGTCAGTGGCGGCTGTGGGAACCACAGGGGGTGGGGACTTGAGTCCCCTACCTGTCTGAGGTGCCCTCAATTCGCCACCCCCGCCCCTGCATCCCCCTGCAGGCTCCCAGAGGGGCGGGCAGGGATCCCTGCTTCCGCAGTCATTCCTGTGAAAACCGCTGTGCCCAGTCTCTTCTGAGAGGTGACCCCTCTCTACTCCGTTTCCAAGATCTCCTGATCTCCGAGAACCCCACGTGTGCTAAGGCACCTTTTGGGGTGCAGAATTCTCTGAGGGATGCCTGATAGCTCCTGGACCAGTGGCAGAAAGGAAAGCTACAGACCATGCAAAACTGAGAATCAGCCTCCACCTTTATTTGGTTTTGGGGAGACGGTCAGGGGTATCCCTGCACCAAGCAACCTGCACCTGTGTTTGGCCTTGCCTGGCGTGGGAAAGGAAAGCTCCCTGCAGAGGTCTCGGTTGCGTCCCCGACCTCTGCCTCCAAGTGTGCGTGGGGGACCGCAGGGGACAGAGGTGGTTGCCTCTCTGCTGCCTCTGTCAGTCCGGGCAGGTGGGAGAGGGGTGAGGATCGAGGGTGAGCCCGTCTATCAATTCTTCCCAACTAACCCTGCTCGGGGAATGTTCTAGCTTTGCAGCCACTGCCATGCCACACACAGGGGCTTGGGGCTTTTAAGAGGCTCTTTACTCAGGTGTCACCAGCAGTCTAGACTGAGGATTCCGTGCAGGAATGCCCTCCTGGGACCTCCTGAACTCCCCCAAACCACAAGAATTCAAGGCCCTCAAAAAAGAAGCTAAAGCATCTTCTGACTCAGCCTTAATTCAGCGGGAAAATAGGAGTCCCTTGCCTCCGCCAGCAAAAGAGATCCCTTGAGCCATTTGTTGCACCCAAAGCTTTTGGCAAATAAACCTGCGTGTCCCCCTTCTCCGGGGATGTGAGCGAAGCGAGGACTTGGTGTCCTTCCTATCCCTATGCACTTGCTTTCTTTTTGTGCATGAAGCTTTTTCCAGATCAAAGTGGACGTGCCTGCACGGAGCGGGGCCTGCCTGATGGACCCGGAGGACGGCGGGACAGGAGACGCGGGTGACCAGGCCATAGAGAAGGAGGTCATCTGCCCTTGGGAGAGCATGGCCCAGGGGAAAGCCAGCTGAGCCAGGGGCGCCGGACCAAGAAGACGCTCCCGGCAGACCCCGCCAGATGGGACCATGGGCACGCTTGCCCTCGAACCAAAGTGCATTGCGATCACATTTGGGGGCCAGAGAGACAAGATGGGTTGGGTTATGGGGACGTGTGCGTTGGCTGGGGTCCCGATGGCCAATTCCTACCCTTCTCCTGACCTTCCCTCCCTTGGGCAGAAGAAAGGCACGTGGATCAGACGACTTGACTTGCTGCCTTAAAACCGATAAAGGGTTAACTTGTAAGGGTCTTTTGGATCGGAATGTTAGTGTGTGTCCGGTTTTATTAGTTAGTTAGGAGCTACTACTTGTGAGTTTATGTGTTAAACTCATTTCTGCTTTGGTGTTAGGGACAAAGGGACATTGAGTCACTGTCAAGAACTCCTTCCCTGTCTGCATGGGTTTGTGCGTGACACTCTTATCCACGGAGCTCCCCAGAGTGTGACACCATGCAGGAAAGGGGGTGCTGGTGAAAGGCATCTTTCTAGAATGCCAGGTGTGTTGTTTCAGATCCACCAAGAAGTAGAGACAAGATGGGATTAGGTGGGGATGTTTTGGGGGAAACACCTGTGAAGCATGAAGAATGGAAGCCAGAGAAGGGGGTGAGGACCTTCAGAGCATGTGCAGGGCTGGCCTCTGGGGAAGCAGGCAGGGAGAGTCTCAGATGGCAGTGCAGCTCCCAGAAAGTTTTAGCCACGCTGCTGGGGTGTCCCTGAGGCAAAGTCACCATTGGAGGTGTCCTCTATCTGGCAGGAATAGTTCTGCCTTAAGACTTCCACATGCAAGGTCGTTGACTGATGACACCTTGGGGGAAGCCTGGCCCTGGCAAGGACACACGGGTGGCCATCTGTCCATATGCTCCCTGCGGCAGGAGATCTGAGCACGCATGTTCCTATCCGATGCATGCAATCTGGTAGGCACCCTGGAGGTGGTGCCCCACTCTTTTCTACCGGTTGTTTACTCAACAAGTATTAATTGAGTCCCTCCTCGGTGCCAGGCACCATGCTAGGTCCTGGGCATGCAGCTGTGGGTAAGACTCCTTGCCTCCTGGAATTCGTCTAGAGTGGTGGTTCCCAACCAGGGACAGCGTTGCCTCTAGCGGACACTGAGGAGTGTCTTGAGACGTTTTTGGGTGCAAGGAATGCTACTGGCATCCAGGGGTAGAGGGCAGGGTTGCGGCTGAGATTCCACAGAGCACGGGTGAGTGTCCTACCCCGTCACTAGAGAAGGTGATCTTGCCCAGCACATGAAGTGGCCTTGCTGAGAGTTCCTAGAACAGAGGTTACAGGTTACGTCCGGCGCTGCTGGCCACGTGCTGCTTGTCTCTGGTCTCTGCTCAAAGCCCTGATGTGTTACCTGAAGGGGTCCTGCTGGATTCTGAGTGGCTTAAACAGTGGGTTGAGGTTAAGGGCTACACGATAAAACAAAACAAAGCAAAACCAAACCAAACCAAACCAAAACCGGAAAACCTTTCTTAAAAGTTGCGCGGAAAGTTCTCACAGGAAAAAAAAATTCAAGTGTGTTGCCAAACCACTCATTGTGCCCCTCCCCTTAGTCCTTGGCTTCATCCAATTTCGATCAGTAGACGAGAGCCCCTCACTTACTTTAAATGTTGGACAACTTACCTTATCGAGCCCATGCACCCTGGGGCTACTGAGTCACCCGTCCTGATACGGAGCCTGAATGGTGACGAGGTGCACGGCCCACACCCGGGCTTGCCGACCATGCAGGGAAACGCTGATGATTTCGCAAGGAGGGAGCATCTCGTTTTACATTCTATGGAATCCGCTCCTGGAGGCTCGAGAGTCACTCATTCAGGGGTAAGGAAACTTCTTCCAGAGAGTACAGAGACTGGGCTGGATCCTTCTTGGAAGGCGAGTAGGTCGATCATTTGGTGTCTTTATTTGCAAAGCTGGTCCAACACGAGATCACAGGCAAAGCAGTCCAGACCTTTCATCTACCAGCGGCCAGCATGCCCAGACTCGCACCCTACAGCTATGGGGCTCCGCTCCTAAGCCCCCAGGGACCTCAAGAGAACCCAAGCCCACCCGAATCTTCAGCATCAAATACTGAAGGCTGCAGCGTTTGCTGGTCGGATTAGGTGAGGTCCAGGCTCAAGTGCAGTAACTGAGAGACCCAGAAGGAAGGAAGGAAGGGATTCGAACATGAAGGAGTTTTTGACTCTGTGACATCATTGCCCAAAGCGGTGAGGCAGACTATGGTGAGTGGATTCCGGGGAAGAGAAGAGATCTAAGGGCTCCATCCATCCCCTAGTCCCTGGCACGATCATTCTCCACCTTGTCTGGATGTTAGAATCTGCTGGAACCTTGAAAGATCTCGATGCTCAGGCCACACCCACTCCAATCAAGTCAGGGTCTCTGGAGGTGGAGCCCTGGCGTGAGGATTTTTGAAGACACTTTCCCAGATGATTCCCATGTCCAGATAAGCTCGAGAACCACCAGCCCGGGGTAGTGATTGAAGCTGGTTCCCCACCCCCACGTCCATGTTCACGCTCAGAGAGACAGCAGGAAAGGAGAAAGTAGAGGGGCCTTGAGTTCACAACCTAGAAGTAGCAGCTGCCATTTCCACTGGCCTCCCGTTGGTCTGTGCTTGTTCGCATGGCCACACCTAGCCAAAAGGATGCTGGGAAATGTAGCCTCTGGTTAGGTTGGTTTGTCACTGGCTAACCTTCTGGAGGTTCCAACAGTAGGAAGGAAGATGGGTAGGACGGATATTGGGGGAGCTCAGTCTTTCCCCCACTGAAACGATTACACAGTCTTGGTGGAGGGAACGGAAAGTAGGTGGTGGGAAAAGGGAGAAAGTAGGAGATGTGGCAAGAGAAGCTGGGAGTAGCTGATTCGTCTGCATTTGGCCAAATCTTTGTTCAATATCTACAAAACGCAGCTCTGCTCTATTCCGCAGCTGGGCGGCTCTGCCTTCATCCAGATGTAAACCAAACACCAGGGGAGGGGCGAGAAGCACAGCCAATTCTCTCATGGGGCTCCCTTATTGCTCAGAGGCAAGCCAGGGAAGTCAGATCCACGGGTCACTGGTAGACGCAGGACTACAGGATACTCAAGTCCTGCCCGGCCCCTTCCCAGCGTGGGACAGCTCCTTGATTCCTTCTTCTGCAAGTTGGGGGCTGCTCACTGGACCGTCTCCATAGGGTCGTTTGAAGTCACACAAAATGCAATGATACATATGAAACTTTTTGCCTGTTCAGAACTTTATAGGGTGCAAGAAGGAACAACTTTATCCACCGGCCCTCCCCACCCTCCTCTCCCTGTAAACCTACACTGTTGAGTGAGTTTGGTTTTCCAGCCCTGGATGAAAGCTCTGGCGCGTCCCATAACTTTCCTGGTCGCTTTCAGTTAATAAATCCTCCAAGCACCGTCAGTGACAATGTAGCTCTGTCCGCGTGCCATTCAGATGTCTGCGTCATGAGCGAAACTCAGAACTTCATCCAAAGGTAAAGCTCCTTCCCTCCTCCGGCTTGAACTGAGCCAGACTGGGGAAGGGAGTCCGCTTCTTCTCTCTTTCCTGTGTCGCTCTGCGTTCCTTCTTCCCCACTCACCATGTAGCCTGTGGCTCCTGGAGGGGTGGGCTGGTGAGCCAGAAAGTTCTTAGTTGGCGGTCACAAAAGCATCATCGGTCATGATGGTTGCTGGGATCCCCCTGCGGGCTCTTCCTTAGCTGGGGTTTTCCTGGATTCCTGGGATCTTCTGGTCTCAGCCTCCTTGGTCAGAAGGGACCACGAGTCTCCTCCAACTGGCTGCATGAGAAATTCATCCCATGGTCCACATCTCGGCTGTGATCACAGTCCTGGATGCTGGGGCAAGAGTCAAATGTCTATGCACCAGCTTCCTGCCGTCCAGATCCTTCAGACCTGGCATCCTTGCCCCTGCAGGGCAGCCCTGCCCTATTTCTCCCCTCTCTGCTGCATGGATTTACCTGCCTCAGCTTTCTTCTGGTTCCCTCCCTCTCACTCTGCACAAGTAAGTCCTCTGAGTGACTCGTAAAACTCCTTTCTTAGCTTAATAGAGAGGCAAGTACCCTCATCCCAGAGACAGGGCTTTCGAGAATGACTCTGGACCACCCCCTGTGCTATTCATGCCCACGTGTTTGGATCTGGTTGGCCAGTGCTTGGCACCTGGTTTTCTTCTTGGCCTCTGTGGCCACAGCAGAAATGGAGACAGAATAACTCCTATTTTATTTAACATTCCGTTATGTTTGTCACAGTGTCGAGGGCGCTCGTTTTCTTTCTCTTGAAAAGCTATGAGCAGAACAATGTCTTTGGGAGTGCTAAGGTGGTTGTGCCTCAGCCTTCCGGAGAGGGGACTCTTGATGGCTTATTTGAAGCTGTGAATTTGTTGAAACTGAGAGGACACAGTGCTGCCCCTTGCTTTTTTTGCCAGGAAAGAAAAGAATAAATATTTAAGGAGACTGTGCCAGCCAAATACTGCAGGGTCCCTGGGTGTGGAGAAGGCGAGCAGGGGAGGGGGAGGGGACACGGGGTCTCCACTCCTGTCAGCCTCCGAGGCCCAGCCCCGCTGCTCTGGGCATAGTCTCCTCACGCTTCACCAGAAGAGGGAGTCCATAGCTCACAGATCCCCAAAGAGAGGAGGCTAGGATTTCCCCGTAGGAATTCAGAGCCCAGCTCTGGAGGCTTGGAGGGGACTTAGAGAGAGGTGTAGATTGGGAGGGGGGGCTGGGGGGGCTGGGGGGGCAGCGAGAGGGCCCAGGCCTCCCCTCTGAGTTTTGTTTTCCTGTTCCCACGCCAGAGCCCCTGGAAGTGGTGGAGGCGGGGACCTTGCCAGAGAAGCTTCTTGCTCATTGCTCTTGGCTGTGCCTCCACCTCTACCCCCCACCAGACAAGGTTCTCCTGGCTGCTGTGCTCTGGTGGGGGCAAGGGGCTGATGCTCTGTTCCTACTGGACTTGGGTGAGGGTTGTGATTCTGTAGAAAAGTCCCACAGAA